TAAATAAATAAATAAATGGGGCCATACAAAGAAAAGGATAAAAAAATAAAATCAAAGCTGTGAGCAGTGCGCTTGGCCTGAGGTATAAATAGCTGCCTCTTAAGAGGCTCCTGGTGATGGCTGGGTGAGCCTCTGAAGCCATCTCCTTCCTCCTGTGACTGTACATCAGGGGAGGTGGCTTTCTCTCTCTCTCTCTCAATTGTTTTCTTTTTAAAGTTTTAATTAAAAAAAATTGAGACAGCATCTTCCGTAGCCCAGGCTGGCCTAAAACTCATTATGTGGCTGAATGACCTTCAGCTGATTTTTCTGTCTCTGCTTTCTCCATGCCAGGATTGAAGGTCAGTGTCCCTGAGTCTAGCTTTTTAAGCCTTGCCAAATCTTTGGAGTGGACGAGGCTTGCCTCAAGTCACAATCTCTGTTCTCTTCCTTCTCTGATCTCCCCTCCCTCTTCCCTGGCCTTCAACTCCATCCCTCTCTGTCCCCCATCTCTCTCTCTCTTTTTTTTTCCCTGGCTTCCTCCTTTTGGTCCTCAGCTGTTATTTCTGTAAAACTCTCTCCACAGGCCCTAGAGATCTGGTGTAGTAAGAGGGCCCCTTGGCCAGGAGGACCACGTTGATAACCACTTTTTCACATCTGGCCGCTGGGTTGCATGTGGACAGGGCATTCACAGCAGAACCCAGGATGCTTGGAAAAGAGCAGGCTCCAATGAGTCAGTGTCATCACAAAGCCAATCCCAGGACTGGGACTGGGCTCAGCCAGCAGCTTCTCATCTTTGAAGTGTGTGTCCTCCTGGCATCGGAGCCATAACTTTAAAAATCTCAGCATTCCTGAGATTCACTGAACCCCACTAGCCTGCTGGGCTGGTTGCTGGTGGGGTGAAAGATGCAGGCTCTTCAGAAACTGTCCTCCCAAGACTGGTGGGTCCTCTGAAGCTGCCCAGTTACACTGGGAACTGTTCAATGCAGAGTCAGATACCTGAAGGATCCAGGCTAGGGCCATGGACCCCTCCAACCCTTGGTGTCTATGGGCCCCTGGGCTGGGTCCCACCCACCATGTGCTGTTCTGTCGTCTCCAGAGCTGTTCCTGAGGCTGGCCTTCTTTCAAGACCAGTTCCTTAGATGCCTCCTCCTTCAGGGAGTCTCCCATGGTTCTCACCATATGAAAGACCTCCTCCTCGCTCTTTCATGACAGTGGCTCTCCTGAACCTCCCCAGGTAGCCACCATCAGTCACAGCAGTGCCCCCCACCCCCAAGAGCTTACACTATATATGCACCCCGAGTCGGATGTTGTGTGCCCCAGACCTCCCATCCCTCTGAAGACCTCTGTGAGCAGGGACTCCTCCCCCCTGTGCCACAGTGGGGAAACTGAGGCTTAGTGAGGTGCAGGGGTCTCGCCTGAGGCCGCAAGTGTGTAGCAGAGGAAGGTTTGAGCTGGACGTGGAGGCTTTGGCCCAAGTTCTCAGTGTTCTCCCTGGGCTCCGAGTCTGTGTTTCCCCAAGGCCTTGAACAGGAAGGCCCACCCCGAGGAAGAGCGTGTGGATCGCAGCCTGGCAGGCTCTGCGTGTGTGCTTCTTGTTTATTAAGGTCACACAGTCACACAGTCCCTGGCCCTGTTTAGTGCTGTGTTTGATGTTCAAGGGCGGTGTGCAAATTTCTGTCTCATGTGACCTAGTTTCTGTGCTTTGATAATGGCATTCCTCTGCACCCCTCTACCCTCTGAGATTTTGGAATCAGGTTCAAAGTCCCACCCTGTCCTCTCCCAGCCCTGGGCTTCATGCCCCATGCCTTGTAGGGGGTTGATGAGTGTAGTGGTTCCAGGGTCTTTGTTATTATTGTTGTTGCTGTTCTAAATTTCATCTGTGATTGGGGTTCATGCGTGTGCAGGTACGTGTGTGTGCACGTGGAGGTCAGGGGTCACCCTTTGGGCTGTCCATCTTGCTTTTTGAGAGATGGTCTCTCACTGAGACTGGGGCTGGTAGATTGGGCTGGGCTGGCTGTCCAGTGAGCTCAAAGGAGCACCTGTCTCTGCCTCTCAGGTACTGGTATTACAGGGGCCATTCATGCCTGGCTTTTTTTTTTTTTTTTTTTTTTTTTTTGGTGACAAGGTTTCTCTGTGTAGTGCTGGGTGTTTTGGAACTCTCTCTCTGTATCTGTAGACCAGGCTGGCCTCAAGCTCAGAGATCCTCCAGCCTCTGCTTCCTGAATGCTGGGATTAAAGGGGCATATACTACCGCTGCCAGCCATGCCTGGCTTTTTAATGTGGGTTTGGAGGTTGGACTTGGAACCTCATGGTTGCTTGGCAGACACCTTCTCCACCGAGCTATTTCCCCCGCCCCGTGTTCCACCATCTTTCTGAGAGGAATGGTGGGTGATTCCTTATTGTGATTCTCCTGTGTGGCTCAAGGAAGTCTCCCTGGATGACCTCATTCTCCACTGGAACTGTCTTCTATTCTTTGATGGTCAACCTAATCTCTGCGCCTGGCCCTGGGTGTAGGGGACCCCATGTGCTTTCCTCTGAGATGTTAGTTGGGTAGGATTCGGGGAACTGTGGTCACTGGACTGCTGGGGAGTTGAATTTCCCTGGAGGGTTGTCTTTTTTCCCTCTTTCTGAGCCTCTCCATCTCATCTATGAAGTGCAAGCATTTGCTGGAATTTGGTCTGTTCTCTAAACTAGCCTGGTGCCTCAGGATGGATCTGTGTGTGTCTTTGGGAGGTGGAGTAAAGGGAGTCCACAACCCCTTGGTGGTCCCTGACTCATGAAGAGGTTTGATGTTTGCCTGCTTCCCTGACAGACTCATGGTGAGGACTGGGGGATTAGGAAATGATCAGTAGGGGCTGGAGGGATGGCTTAGAGGTTAAGAGCCTTTTCATGACTGAGTCATCTTTATGGATCCCCATGGATGTGGCCAGTAATCCCACTTTTTTTTTTTTTTTAATCTTTGAACATTTGTGCTATTTTTGCCTCTTGGCTGTTGTGAATACCGTGGCCTCGAACATAGGTTTGTGAGGGTCTCCTTTTCAAAAAAAGCTGAACGTGAGCATCTTTGCTGATGTTAGAGTCAGTGTCTGTCCTTTGCAGGCAGAAGGTGGGTCATCCCCAGAACCGGATCCACAGCCATGTCCCAAGAGCCCGTTGGTGTGTCCTGCTCCAAGCTGGGGACTGGTGTTCTTCAGTCTGCCTGGCGACCAAAGAGAAAAAACAGGACATGACACTTGAGTGGGGTCAGAGGGTTATCAGCGCTGGCTTAGGGTCTCCCAGCCAGCAGGGCAGGGGGCACCTGCTCTAAAGCCTTTGTGCCACATGTGATGCTCTCCCCACCACCTGCTGTTGTGGGTGCCGAGTGAGGTAAAGTGTTAAAGCTTTGAGGGGACTGGTATCTCGGGCAGATTTTGGAGGGGCATCTCTAAGTTCCACTGAGGAAGGATAGCGTGGCGGGACACCTGCCCCTGGAGATCGCCTCAGGCAGGATGTGTGGTCGGCGCCTCTCACCCATGGCTATAAAAAGAGGCAGGTGCCGGCCTGGATCTGTCTCTGTCACCTCTGGATCTTGGGGACTGGAGTCTGGAGTCTCAGGTCCAGGGGTACGGCAGCTACCATTTCTGGCTCCGGGGCTCCAGAGCTTGCTGTAGACAGGAAGAAGCCAAGCCCTGGATCTATACAGTTGTCGTCATACTTCCCCTTCCCCACCATACCTCAGCGCTGTGACCACAGGACCATTGGGGTCTCTGGGGAGATGATGGATCCGATGTGGTACCATAAGACTGGGGTGCACACTGTCTGAACCCCACAACTGCCTCCCCACCATGCCCAGACTACTGCTTATGCCCAGCTTGCAGTCTCTGGGCCCACCTGCAGCCAGCATGGATGCCGGGCCCACTTACTTAGAGTCTGTTCCCTCCCCCCCGCCCCCCCACCGCCTTTGGCCTCTGTCCTCATCCTGTTACCCTCTGTAGAGATTTAAGATCTCTATAGGAGGTCTTAGAAGGAAGCGTGTTCTTCCAGGGGCCAGGAGAGAGGTTTAGTGACTTAGCACCCCTGTATGCACTTGCAGAATTTGTGGAGCCTGTGGGGAGAAAGAGGGCCGTGGGCCATGCCTGTGCTGGGCTCAGGACATCGTCCAAGCAGATTTCTGTACCAGGTTAAGCGCCAGCAAGTAAGGATTGTCATGACTCTGTGTAGTCCCCGTGGGAAGTGAGGTGAGAGGGGACATCCAGGCTGGCTGCGTGTGGATGCCCTCTAGGAGGTTAAATGCTCCCAGGGCCAAGGTCTGGAATGGTTGTGCCCAGCTAGAAGGAGGCATATGTCCAGGCTGGGCTGGCCTCTGGTCTGTGACTCTATTAAAAATACATGCAAGGACAGTGCAAAATGGAGGCGTTCACGAAAGCCGGGTGGCGGCGGTGCACGCCTTTAATCCCAGCACTCGGGAGGTGGAGGCAGGCGAGTTCGAGCCCAGCCTGGTCTACAGAGTGAGTTCTGGGATAGCCAAGGCTACACAGAGAAACCTTGTCTCAAAAAGCAAAAAACAAACACCCCCCCCCCCACACACACACATAAACAACAACAAAAGAGAGTCCACTACACCTTTCTCAGACTAACGTCCCAGAGGTTGTGGCACACTTTAAATTCTGAACACCCAAGTTCGAAAGGTAGGCCTGTTCACACCTCAGGTCTATAACCCCAGATACAGCTCTGCCAGAGAGAGGAGCCATTTCCACCTATCGGCTGCCCTTGCTGCCGATAAAGCAGCCTCAGGCGGGTCTGAAAATCATTAGAAGCAACCTCAAGCTTCCATGTCTGTATGGGCAGACTGGTCATCCTTGAAAGGAATCAAGAACTTGCTTAATGCTAAGCAAGATGGCTGGCGTTCTGTACTTCGAGCAGCTTCCCCAGCTTCTCTGGGCTTCCCACCATGAAGGGATATCCGTGTAAGCGACACTGGGAGCATGGGGCTCTTCCCTTGGGCTCCCTGTATACTGACCCTGTCTCTCTTTTCTCAACAGTGACTGACTTGCAGGAGGAAGGCAAGAGCGCCATCAATTCTCCTATGGCCCCAGCTTTGGTGGACATCCACCCTGAAGACACCCAGCTAGGTACCTTGGCCCCCTTGGCATCCTTTGGTGTCCATCCCTGGTGGGGGACCCCACATGGGTGGATGGTGCGTGAGAACCAGAGTCTTATTCAGAGACCTCTAGGGAGACGCAGGCTTCTGCCCCTGCCTTCAAGGGCAATTTCTTCGGCATCCTAGTGTAGATGGCTGACTAGCATTGAGAACATGGCTGGCTATGGTCACAGTTCCAGGAGTTGGCTAAACAGGGCTGGTCAAGCAGTGGAGAAGAAGGAGGAAGACTTGGCTTGGTTACTGAGCTGAGAGCTGGATGGTGTAACCCTAGGAGCTCCGGGTACAAGGACCAGCTTGAGTTAGCTGATAGCTGGCCTACAGGATGAGGGAAAATGAGGCCTAGAGTATTGGCTCAGGGTGTGGGACAGCATGAGCCCCTAGAGGAGGAGGCTGGGGACAGCTACCCTTGGAGGACAAATCTCCCAGGGATGAGCATCTCAAAGCATGAAGAAATTCAGAAACTAGGCGCACCTCCCAGACATCCCATATATCACCATGGCTGCCCTGAAGAGCCATGCTGGGCCTGCAGCTGGCTGTGTGGGAATTGTGGGTGGGGAAGGCCCCCTGGCTCATGCCAGGTCGATGACAGGGTGGCAGCCAAGGTGCTCTTTCCTGGCTTTGTGTTTCGGCAGCAAGTTAGTGTGGAAGGCAGGTATGGAACACGCTTATTTCCAAAGCCTGGTTCAGAGGAAGGTCCCTGTCTACCCAGATTTTCCATGACAAAGTCGTCAGGGAGGAAGCAGGTGTGGCCCAGCCTGTGGCCCAGAAATGACCTGGTACCTAAGACCATTGCTCCGTGACGTCTCTCCGCACGGAAGGGCGTGCCTGCTACTGCTGCTGCAACTGACTGTAGCAGCAGGTGCTTCCGGGCTATTCTCCGCCTGGGAAGCCAGACTTGCCCCCAGATCCCCGCTGTGGCCAGCATACCCCTGGCACACTGGCTTCAGTGGGACATGGTCCCTTCTGTTCTGGCTCCCATGTCTTCATTCCTTCCTCCTTCCCCCACCTCTCTGTCCCGTTTTCCCCATGAACTGCACTGGCCTTTTGTCTGTCAGAGCCAGGCTAGAACTTTGAGGGGAAACCCACAGGGGAGGTGGGTAAAATGTCATCCTTTTGTGTGTCTTTGCTATTTCTAAGACTGCGGTGCACATATTGTTTTGTATATGATACTGCCTGCCCATCTGTTTCCTTACATGCTCCGTTGGCTGCACACAGCCTCCTGTGGACCAGTGAACAGAGGCCCAGGAACTACGGGTGCTCAAAGTTCTCTTCAGTCCTCTGGTTCTGGCAGGGCACTTCCAGGGCCACTGTGGGTGCCACACTCTGTCTTTTCTTTACTTGTGGCAGTGTGGCTTAGACTTGCTGCTTGGAGTCCAAGACTCAGGGGACAGAGTCTGGCTTCATCTCCTCCTGCTGCCCTGTATGATTGATTTCTGATCCTGGTGTGTGGCTGACAAGGCCGTGTGACATGTTCTCATGGAGGACATGATGATCTCTGCTTTTCCACCAGCTTCCTGCCCCACAGGAGTGATCAGGAAATCCTCCACCCCCGGCATTTCTGTCAATCTTCCCCCCTACCCTCATTCACTCTGGTCTTTTCCGTCTTTGGCAGAAGAGAATGAGGAGCGTACCATGATTGATCCCACCTCGAGAGAAGACCCCAAGTTCAAGGAGCTGGTCAAGGTGAGGTATTACAGTCTGAACTGTGGTGTGTTAAGTTGGCAGAAACTTGAAGCAGCTGAAGAGCAGAGAAAATAAATGCATGCATGCTCACTTGCTTGTCTGATACGTTCAGCAGCTTTCTCCGCTTTTATCCTGTTTGGGACCCCCTAGGTCTAGGGGTTGGTGCTGCCCACAGTGGGCTTGGTCTTCCCACAGAGATTAACCTAATTAAGACAGCAGGGCTGGAACATCCCTGCTGGCCCCAGGCCTTCTTCTGGAGGCTCAGGGCTCCTGTGGACACAAGGAGGACCTGAGCTTTCAGGCTCCTGAAATGACCATTGAGTCTACATTAGAAAGAGGTGTTGAGGAGTGGAATGTGGGCTGAAGAATGGGAGCGAACATGGGTCCTCTAGGTGCTCCCATGTGCTAGGGCAGCCCAGGGCCTTTCTGGGGCTGTCACATGGTGCTAACAAGGGCTGTGCAGGGTCTGTTTTGAGCCAATACACCCCGCCTACAGGCCTGGTTGTCTGTAGCTTCACGGGGTGTAGATTCAAGTTGTTCCGGGGAGCAGGTTGTTGTCTCTCTCTACCACATACTATGGCGTCATCTGAAGAGGGTCCCTGGTGTCCTAGTTAGCTTTAATTGGTCAACTTGACACAGACTTGGAGTCACCCAAAAAGGAAATCACAGTTGGAGGATTTCCCAAATCAGAGTGGCCAATGGGCATGTGGGTGGGCCGCCGTCTTGATTGGTAAGTTTGATGCAGGAGGGCCAAGCCCACCGTGGGTGGAACCATTCCTTTGGCAGTCAGTCTAGGTTATATTAGAACGAATGCTAGCTAAGTATGAGCCCGTGGGTGATCTTTCATGGTTTCTGCTTCAAGCTCCTGCATGAGTTCCTGCCCCGACATGGACTGACCTGGAAGTGTCCGTCAGTAAACCCTCTCCTCCCCTAAACTGCTTTTGTTCAGAATGTTTTAACACAGTGACAGAATGAGACTAAGACACTCCGGGACCAGTGTGTGGTAATGTGAAAACCAGCCAGGTGGGAAAGCAGAAGGCTCTGTTCTCAAAGGTCACAGTAACAGCCGGGTGGGGCTGTGGCTCAGCGGCTGCCAGGGACATCTGCCTGCTCTTCTCTAGAACATGGCCGAGGCTTTGATTGCCCAGCTCTAAGCCACAGTAGGGCTCCTGAAGGACCCCCACCCGAGACAGAGGCAGGCAGATGGTGTCCTACCTCAGAGACCCGGAGTTGGCTTGGGTGACCTAGGCGCTTTGAAATGCTGAGTGTGACAGTGTCCTGAAATAGATGCCTCTCTATTGGCCATTCCACCTTCACTGCAGCAGGGAGCCTTATACCCACCCCACCCCCATGTGACTGAGCTTTCATGAGGACCAAGGAATCAGGGCTGCTCGCTGTGCCCTTGTAGAAACATGAGCTGAAAATGTCTGTATGGAGGGGTTGGAGGGGTGATTCTTTTTTTTTTTTTTTTTTTTTTTTTTAAGACAGGGTCTCACTGTGTATGGGGAGAAGGGGTTTATTTAGTTTGCAGTTCTGGGTTATAGTCCAATGCTGTGGGCGTGTTAAGTTGGCAGAAACTTGAAGCAGCTGAAGAGCAGAGAGAATAAATGCATGCATGCTCACTTGCTTGTCCGATACGTTCAGCAGCTTTCTCCGCTTTCATCCTGTTTGGGACCCCCTAGGTCTAGGGGTTGGTGCTGCCCACAGTGGGCTTGGTCTTCCCACAGAGATTAACCTAATTAAGACAGGCCCTCAATAGACAAGCCCACAGGCCAGCCCAGCATAGACACTCCTCACGGTTGGTTCTAGATTGTGTCAAGTTGACAGGATTAACCGTTACACCGGGCAGGGGTGGCACACACACTTCTTTAATCCCCAGCACTTGGGAGGCAGAGGCAGGCAGAGCTCTGTGAACCTGAGGCCAGCCTGGTCTACAGACGGAGTTCCAAGACAGCCAGAGACTATACAGAGAAACCCTGTCTCAAACAAAACCCAAAGCCAACCCAACCAACATCCACCCCCTGCAGAATCAATCAGACAAACCAAAAACTGGAGAAACAAAACAAAACAAAACAAAACAAAACACATTAATCATTGCAACTGGGCAGAGGGGCCGGGGCTGCAGATAGAGGTGTCAAGGAAGGGGGAAGCAAAGGATGATAGCTGTGTGCCAACGTCTGTGGGAGCTTCTAGTTGGAGAAGGCAGGGAAGCAGGGTCCTTTCAGAGTCTCCGAAGGGTCAGCTCTCCTCTCCTGACGTTGGACCTCAGCTCAGTAACACCGATTCAGGGCTTCCAGCCTCCAGCATGCATCCCAGGATGCATGGGATGGCTGAAAGCCACCGGAGTTGTGGAAGTCTCTAGAGCAGCCACAGGAAGCAAATCTCCTCCACTGTAGCTCACCATCCACATGGGCCAGCAGGGGTGGCAACAGGGGCCGAGTCCCTGAGATGCCCTTGTTTCCGCAACCGTCCCTTTGCCTGCAGCTGAACTTGCCGGGAGAGCAGACTTTGGGCACCCCAGCTTGAGATCTCGTCTCACAGCAGGCTGGCCTTGGCCTACCGCTTTCCCATACTAGTGTAAATACCACGCACAGGGGAGCAGTCCTGGAAACTTGGGGGGCTCATCAGCTACTGTTACAGCTTCGTGGAAGGGTGTTCAAAGTGTCAACCTTCTCAGGGAGGGAGGGAGGTCCCATGGCTCCCATGAGCTAGCCCTGTTGGTCAGATGTACTGGGAAGCCTGTGTGTGCTTAGAGCCTGCTCCTGGGGAGGGAGGACTGTGGGTGTTTTCCCTCTCCGTCCTGACAGTAGCTGGCCCGAATATCACACTTGTGCTATGAGTGTGGGGTGCCCACCCTCCCAGATGCGCTAGGACTGGACTCAGTGTCTGGCCTGTCCCCAGGGTCACCACAGGACCAGGTCCCTTGGGTCTGCTCTGCTCAGACTCTCCACTCTCATTCCTTGCCTCCACCCTCCATCCCTCTGCTCCATACACTCTGTGGTTTTGTTGCCGCTATGCTGAGCAGGGACCCTCTGGGTATGAGGTTAGAGGGGACAGTTTCCTCTGAGACCTACTGGCAATCTCAGGGGTCTCAAGTTACATCAGGGTTGCTAATTCACCAGAAGGATATCAGGACACACTGGGAGCTACTGTCCTAGTGGTCATAGTTGGTGACAGGCACCATTTTCTGGGGGAGGCACACTTGGGCACTGGGATCAGGATCTAGGGAATGTTGTGGGAGAAGGGGTCGGGGCCTTGTGATTGCTCCTGATTGCAGGTGGTTCTAGAGCCTCAGTGCCCGGGGTCACCGTGTGGGTCTCAGAGTTTCAGAACATTGTCCGTGTTGCAGATCAGTGGCCCAGCTTCTAGAGGACACCTGTGAAGGTGCTGCCTAGAGACAGGTTTTGTTTTATGGTTTTGCTATCTCCCAGAGCTGGGGGTGGCATCCAGGACTTTTCTTCATTGCTGAACTATACCCATGCTCACCCCATCCCCCAAGCAGGCTATGTTGGCCTGAGCAAGCCAGAGGACAGCTGGGTCTGGCTGACATCCTGTCCTGCTGGACATGGTCGCCGTGGCTGTCTGTCCTTCACTGCCTTTCCCAGTCTTTGGGACCAGGGCTGAGTTTCTGAGGAAGCCTGGCTGGCCTTGTTCCTCCCTCTCCTGCTCTCTGCTCTGTGTGTCTTCCCTCTGCTGTCTTGGTGGCCTTCTCTGTTGCCTACTACTTTAGGATTGTCATCTTTGAAGTGTTGTGAGCTGCCCTCTGCCTTTTGTCTGAAGTCCTTGGCTCTGGCTGGTCGGGCACTGGGAGTGAGGCTGACTATTAAAAACTATTTTGAGCATCTTGTCGTGCTTACTGGGTCATTAAGGGATGAAGGTCTCATCCCAGCTCAGAGGAAAGTGGAGCGCCTTGACCCCTGGCCATTCATTATCTGATGATGGGCATGGAGAGGCACCAGGTCTGGTGGGGACTGTACATTGGCCAGCTGGGCATCACCTTAGAAATGGGTCTGCATTCTGTGGGCCCAGGAGCCTCAAAGACTCACCCTGGTGTCTGCTGCTGGCGTTTCTTCCTGCGGCCATTTCCTCTGGAATCAACCTGGATTCCCTGTTAGTGTGTTGGAGGCCAAAGTGTCCTGTGCTTTTGTTAGGGAGAGGCCTCCATGCTCAGTGTCCAACAAGGAGTCCCACCTTGTCCCCAGGGCCTGGCACAGAGCTCTGAAACCCTCTGAGTTTCCTGTGTGAGATGTCCTCTGCCTCACACACTCTTGGCCACACCCAGGTCACTGCTAATGAGGGCATTTGGTGAGCTCCCTATTAGCTTCCAACGGAGGTTGATCCCTAAGAAGACCCACACATGCACGGTCAAGGGTTTGGCCCTGTTGATTTCTGGGAGGGGAGGGGTCTGGAAGGTGGTTCTTTTTTCTGATGGCCAATGACTGAGGCCACGACCTGGGATGTTTTACCCTGGCCAGTGACTGTCACAGCACATTGACTGCCAGACACCTGAGGTCAGAGCACTGATGTTGGAGCATCAGTTTGTGGGGAAGAAAACCCCCTCAAACCTACACAGCCCTTCCTTTTAAGCATGACAGCCAGAAGCAGCGAGACATCTCATGCAGGGGGTGGAGTGCATCTTCCTCCAAGAGCAGGTTTCACATCTCACTGTTCAGTTGCTGGGCAAGGCTTAGCCTTGTCCTGGACCTGTTCCCCACTCCCCTCTCATGCCCGGGTCAAGGGGAGGTGTTCTGCCATGCTCAGGCCTCACTGGCTCTCACCCCATTCAGTAAGGTGTGTCTCCATCCCCGGAGGACAACACAGCCCTGGACTCTGTTTGGAAGTGATTAAAACGTTACTGTCACGGCCCTGGGGAAGATAGACCGCAGACCCGATTACAATTCAGGAGGGACTAAGGGGGGAAAGTAACGTTTTATTCTGGTTGGAGCAAGCTCCTAGAGCTAGCCATGATCGAGTACCGTGTAAGGACATAATTAATATATGTCCTCCTTATTCGCCCGCAGGACCCGGGGCTGGCAGATGAGCGAGTCCCTAAAAATAATAGCTGATGCTATCTTTAAAAGCTCTTTTGTGAAATGGAAGATTAAGAAGGATGACCCGGAGCAGAACAACGGGGTGATGGGTGATGTCCCCAAGTCAACTGCACCTCCTTGGGGGAGAGGTGTTGAGACAGGAGAGGATTTTTGCTTCCTAGACCTGAGAGCCTGGCCCATCATGGAGACTTTGTTTTTTGAGCTTTTGCCCTTTTGTTCTTGCCTTTGGGCTTGATCTAGATGTGGGGTTTTTGTTTGTTTCATTTTCCTTTAACTTTTCAATTCTCAGAGAAGAAGCGTTCTCTCAAGATTTCCTAGCAGGGCTGTGTTTGAGAAAGAAAGCCCCTGGAAGCAAAGTCCTATAGAAAGGTCCACATCCTTTCTAGATGTGAATTTTCCCAGGCGGTTCTCTGGTTTGTTTGAGAACTTGAGTCTGCATCTGTCTTAGCCACTGCGGATAAGTGCTGAGCAAAACAGCGCACTCGCCAAGCTCACCGTGTACCTGGGAGAAAGACGTGATTAGGACCAAGTGAATACGTAATCAGGTGGCAGGGGTTCCCTCGAAACCTCAGCCCCTTCTGCTGTTTTCTGCAGGGCAGTCAGCGAGGTGGCATTTAAGCAGATCTTCGTGTCAGTACCCAGGTGAAGATCATGGCCAACTGCCCAGTCACTGGTGCAAAGGTCCTGTGGTATACCGGTGCTTGGCACGTTCTAACAACCACCGAGATGGGTAGGGTGATGAGACGAGTGAGCATTCAGGGGAGTGGCCAGAGACACAGAGATGGATGTCCCATGCCTGTATCCTTCTCAGCCTAACACCCATGACGGGCGACTGCCTCTGTGAACAGGGACTCCACTGCATCTCTCTTCGTCCTCACTTTCCCAGGGTGGCCTCTGATGTGGGCACTCATGTTCTTATCCTCAGGGGAGAACCTAGAAATGAAGGGACAGCATCTGTGGCTTCCTTCCCTTCCTTTCCCTTCTTAACAACTGGCAGAGGCGATTCACCCTTACCCATTGTCTTAGGGTTTCTGTTGTGACCAACAGTTACCAACACCACATTGGAGAGGAGAGACTTACAGCTGGAAGGCATCGCTAGGAAAGCCACTCAGGAACTCAAAGCAGGAGCTTGGAGGCAGGAGCAGAAGCCACGGAAGAGTGTTGCTCACTGGCTTGCTCAGCCTGCTTTCTTATTCCACCCAGGAGGACCACATGCCCAGGGGTGGCATTATTCATGATGGGCTGGGTCCTCCCTTATCAATCAAGAAACTGTATCACAGGCTCGCCTACAGCCAGTCTAGCGGAGGTGATTTCTCGACAGAGGCTGCTCTTCCCAGGTGACTCTGGCTACATCCAGTTGACACAAGTCATCCGCCACTGTAACCCCAGTGACCTCAGCATACTATCGTTCTGCCATTCCTTATGAACTTAAGGTCTTTCTCTTTTGTCCCGAGGAAATCCTTGCTGTGGTTTGCAGCCCCTGGTGTGGGAACAAACCTTAGACCTTTGGGCAGAGGACAAGCGGGCTTCCAGGATAGGGCCCTTTGCAACCTGTTTTCTTCCAGCCAGGCCCTATCTCCTAGTCTTCATTGCCCAGAGGAGACAGCCCAGTGGCCAGAGAACACAGGCCAGACTAGAGTCCCATCAGCCAGAGAGCTGGAGAGGTCTCTGACTCTGTCCTCCTCCCCTCGGAAGGTACTTTGACACCTCCAAAAGGCTGCAAGGCTGGGTGGCCCTTTCCCCTAGCCACATTTGACTCATAAGCTCCATGCTCCCTCTGAGTATCTGATTCAGTCTCCCATGTATAGCTGGGCTTCTTGGCTACTTTATTGGGTTCTTTTTCCTACCTCCCTACACCATCCCTTCCAGTCCACCAATACCAGGTAGGAGAGAAAGAAGGGTAGAGGGAAAAGTGGGAGGAGAAGCATCAATATCATTCGACTACTTCCTGCTTATTAGGGGCATCAAATTCCTTGGGGCAAGTTTGATCTCCGTTTTTAGGATCTCTCCAACTGGCAAACCAGTAACCAGCAGCAATCCAGCAATCAGCAACAGGGAGTACAGCAGCCGCCACAGGCCCCCATGAGTCTCTGTCATTATAGACCCTCTGAAGAGGAACTTCTGGCATTCCCAGAATTCCAAACATAAGCTATCTTCAGCTGGCAAAATCACACCTCCACTAGAGCATGAGGCAAATCATAGCCAGCTGCTGTGGGCAGCCTCAGGCAGCCCCATATCCCACACCTGTGAGTAGAAAACAAAACAAACAAACAAAAACATATTGCCATAATATTCCTCTGTTTTTTGGAGAAACCCAAATTTTCGCCACACCTGTAGTCACTTGGAAGCTGGTCAGGACTTGATGGGACTTGATGGGACCTGACAGGTCAGGACTCTGTGACCAATTTCTCAGGTCATTGCTGTTTCAGAGATTAATGGGACCTGTACTTTCGGGTTTGTGCACTTTGATCCTTCTGAGAGTGGCCAGAGACCTCCACCTCTCAGGGGTTAAGGGGTCCAATTAGACAGCTTAATTGATTCTGCTGGCATGGAGACCCACAGTCCAACTGTCATGACTGCAGCCTGGGTGGGCATCGGCTTTATTCTGGGTGGGATGGTGAGTAGAGCTGGCTTTATTTTGGCAGCCCTTCCCAAGTACCATCCTTGGGAAGCCCTCTGTTCTGTCCCAGAGACACTCAACAGCGGAAGGTGGTTTGCCTCCACAGTGTGTCTTCCAGTGCGCTGAGTGGAAAAAAACTTGTTAAGAAAAGCCTTCAGGAGAAGGCAGGGAAGAAAAAATGGAAAGGAGAAACTTGACTATGAGTGTTCACAGCAGTGTGACGGACAGAAAGTCACACGACTCAAAGGCCCAGCCGTGGGGGAGACAAATACGATGACCCTACATTTGTGCCGTGCTGTGCTAAGGTGTTCAGCCGGAAGTTGGGGAGAGGCAGGAGCTGTGACAGGAGTGGGCTTCGAATACCATGCCAAGAGGAAAGCCAGGCAAGAGGGAGGAGTTACATGCTGTGTAATCTCACTGACTACAGGAAATGGAGAGGGGCAGAGCCTCGGGCAGCAGGCCTGGTTTTTGTACAGGAACAGGAAAACATTCTAAGGTGGACTGGGGTGACCATCGCACAGCTCTGTTGTCTGCGGGACGAGGCAGGTGGATTCTCCATTGGCCGGACAGTCTACAGAGTGTGGCAAACAAAAACCATGCTGGGACCTTTTGTATCAGCCCCGGCAGGACCACGGTTGCTGTAGGTTCGCAGCCTGCCTGGTTCTGCCGGGGCCCTGCTGGGAACTGTCAGGAAGTCCCAACTCCATGCGTGGGTCTGGCTCTCTACTCCTACCCTGGCCATGGACCAACAGACACCTGTTGTCCTCTGTGGTCACCAGGCAGCACTTGTGTGGTTGAGCAGCTTCCCGTCTGCACCTGCTCTGACCCTGGCTTTACCCGGCATCTCTCACCTGCCCCAGGTGCTCCTGGACTGGATCAACGACGTGCTGGCGGAGGAGCGCATCATTGTGAAGCAGCTGGAGGAGGACCTGTACGACGGCCAGGTGCTCCAGAAACTACTGGGTGAGTGCCAGGACCCCGCCATGTAGCACCATCCTCCTTGCCCTGGGCTCTTGGGAACAGACCCAGAGCTTGTTTCACACCTTGTGGCCCTAGCTGTGGTTTCATTGCCACCTGTCTTCATGGTGTCTCTGCCGGACAGTGAGTCCCCAGCCATGGAGCCGCAGCAGGTCCTCTTGGAAGCACATGCCCTCCTTGACCAAAGAAACAGGCTTCAGAGGAGAGTCATGCCCCTTATCTCAGCCCTCTGGCCACCCTTGTTTTATCCATTTATAAACACATTTAGGTTTGTGGTCTTCAACAAAGCCACGTGAGAGAACGTGTCATTGTCCTGACTCATGCCTCCAGGCTTTACTGTCCCCAAGTTGTGGCTGAGGATGATTGAGTATGTTCCCAAGATAGATTGATGGGAGGAAAGACGGAAGGTGGGCAACCTCTCCATCCAATGTTCCTGAGCCTTGCTGGATGCTGGGCTCTGGTCAGTGGCTCATGAAGCAGACATCTACCTACCCTGCCCTTCTGGGGTGTGTGGTCTGTCTGAGCAGCCAGTGACAGATGCTGTGGATCTGAAGAGTGGAAAGGTCATACAGGTGCCTATGGCCAGAGTGGGTAGCTTTACCAAGCACTGGGGTCTGAGCTCCTGGGAAAGGTGAGGGAAGAGTGGCCGGGAGAAGAGTGGAGAAGAATGAAGTCGGGGGTGAGGAATGGCAAGGCCATGAGAGTCACGATGCCTTGCCCTGGCGTGGTGATTCATGCCTGTCATCCCAGCACTTGGGGTGCTGCGGCAGGGGGATTGCTGGTTTAAGGATAGCCTGCCCTACGTAACAAAAGCCCGTTTAAAAAAGAAAAATAATGAATGCTACAGCCTGGGCACCAGCCCGTCTCTCTTTCAGCTGTTTGTCAGGTGCCTGAGGTACCTGTGTTGTGATTGTAAACATTTTTTTCTTATCACAGCAGGTTCTCACTGCAGCCCAAGGGCAGGCCCAGTGACCAGCATCTCCAAATGCCTTTTCATCCGGGGCATTTTACCCAGTTCTTTCCTGACTTCTCAAAACATCTCCCTCAAACCCTTTTGTTTCTCTCCATCGCTTATGACATCGTTGAAGGACTTGGGAATCTTGTCTTATAGAAGATGGACTAATGTAGGTTCATCTGATCTCCCTTTTATTTTTCTTTTTTTTTTAAAGATTTATTTATTTTGATTTTATGCGTATGAATGTTTTGCGTGCATGGTTGTCTGTGTGCTACTTGCCTGCAGTGCCTGTGGAGGCCAGAAGAGGGCATCAGAGCGCCTGGAGCTGTCGTTTATGGATGGTTGTGAGCTGCCATGTGGATGCTGGGAATTGAACCCAGATCGTCAGAAAGAGCAGCCAGCACTCTTAACTGCCCAGTCATCACTCCAGCCCTGATTGCACTTTCCTTGGTGTTACTAAATAGGCCTTTTTGCTGGAGCTGGTGCAGGGCCCATTGCTTCACAGTGCCGAAGGTGCACAGTGCCAGTTTATCGATGGATCCTTAGCCAAGGTGATGAAAAAGGGAAGTGGTGAGGTTATTGAGTTGCTGAGTGGCTGGGTGGTCATGGTGACTCCTCAGGGGAGCTCACAGCCACATACAACCACAGAGCTCCACATACAACCTCCGGTGGCTGAGCAGGGCACAGGGGCTGAGACAGGTTTGTAGAGCAGGGAGGGAGATGGGATCTGGGATGAGGCCGGGAAGATATACAGGCCCAGATCCGGTAGACAAAGTTTCCCTCTAGGTCACAAGAGCCGCTGGGAGTTTGAACGGGGCTGTGCCATGACCTCTGTGGGATCTTACAAAGGGTCACTCGGGCTTCTGGGTGCAGAGTGGGTGAGGAGGAAGCTCACCCACTCTGCACCCAGAGTGGAGCTGCATGTGGCTCAGGCTGCTCTTTGCAGAGCCCCAGGCTTCAGAAATGGCTCTGGCAGGGGTGGAACGCAGACGTGGACAAACATTTTGGAGGGTAAAGCTGCCACAGGAATGGAGGGTGGAGGCCACGGAGGTGGACTGAGGAATTAGCGAGCCAGGAAAGAGCTGGGGGTCCGATGAGTGAGGCTTTGGGGGTGAGTGTGCCTGTTTGGAGCCTGCTGCTGGGGCAGGAGTTGGGGACTCCTATTGCAAAGTGAGATGGAGTGCAGCTGCTGGGAGGCGGTGTTTAGAGCCTCGGGACACCATTCCCTGGCAGGGGGTCCCAAACTCCTCCCTGGGCTGGATGCTGAATGGTCAAGAGTGAACGTGGACGTTTGGTTAAAAATGTGGTCTTAGAGGAAGGTTTACTCTCACTGAGCCTGGAGTTCACCAGGCTCACGCACACGCGCACATGCGCACACGCGCACACCCTTGGCAATGCCTTCTCACCGGAGCAGTTCCTCTAGTGGACGCTGAGTCTCAGCTCACAGGACAGGCTCTTGCTTTGCGTCTCTGCTGGCCGTGGTCGGCTGTCACAACACTGACGCAGCCCTTGGTCCATCTTTGAGAGCACATCTTTTTTTTTGGTTCCGTCTTCAGTTTGCCTGGCCGAGGCAGCGCTGACCTGAACCCCACCCCGTTGCTGTGTAACGTGGACAAACTGTGTGACACGAGGCTTTGGGCTTGCCCAGGCTCTGCTGTCTTTGTGTTGTGGAGTGGTTGTTATTCCCTCTCGTTTGAATATCTCCAGTACTTGAAAAAGCAGCTGGGAAGCCTCTTATGTCAAGTGGGTTGGTCGGACGGAGAAACGGACAATGGGAAGAGTATTCAGGGCTGAAGAGGACGCCAGCGATGCCGGCGCATCTGCCTGGTTGTGTGGGCGACGCCGTTTCTGATTAGACGTGATGATGACTCGCGTGATCCCTGTGACTGGGCATTCCAGGAGTGGCCTTGATGCAGGCAGTGGGCTCTCGGGCTTCCCCACGGCAGCTCTAGATTACATAAGGGGGTGCCGGCTGAGCAACAAGGCCGAGGCGGTGGAGCTGGGACTGGTCAGGATGAGGAGGAGCCAGCAAAGAAGTCTGGTGAGATCAGCATGTGGGAAAGGACCATGAGAAGTGTCACATGGGAGTAAGGGGTGGAAGAGGTTATTTTTTTATCAATTTGAATTACATGTTTTTGGGTGTGGGTGCATACATGTCAATGTGGGCATGCGTGTGCCACAGTGCATGTGTGGAGGTCAGAGGGTGAGCTCAGGCTTTTTTTTCTCCCTACCCTGTATGTGAGGCAGGGTCCTTTGCTTGCTCCAGGCTAGACTAGCCTCTGGAGCATCTCTTGCCTACGCCTTCATTCTTGCTCCCCAAGGAATTCTGGGATACAGACTGCACATGAAACACACCTGGCTTTTTGTGTTCTGGGGATCAAACTCAGGTTCCCATGCTTCACAAAGCAATCGAGTTACCCACGGAGGTAGGTCCCCAGCCTGAGGAGGTGTTTTGAGTGCATGAGAGTGAATGATGAGGATGGTGTGGGCCGCTGGGTGAGCCACCAGGGCACCCAGAGGAGCCCCTATTCTTGAGGAGAGAGGCTGGAAACAACTGGGGCTCTCTGTGCCAGGCCGGGGTTCAGCTTGGCTGGAACTCCTGGGCCAGCCGGTACTCCCCGGGACATCTTCAGGCCTCCCTCGTGCGTTCCAACACCCTCAATCGCATGCTGTACTTTGAAGGTCACCTTACCTTTTCTCTTTCACGTTGGAAGATGAGGCCATGGCACATCTGTCACCCTTAGCAGTCTGCAGATCAATGCCTGGGTGATATGCAGAGAAATCTCTTTTCCTGCCTTCTGGAGTTACTGCATCATGGAGACCTAGGGCAAGAAGCGGGACACAGGACCCGCCTCCCCGGGCTGAGTCATAACCCCTAGCCCCACATTCATCTATTGACATCGCTGCTGGCTAGTCTTTATGTCAACTTGGCACTAGCTGGGATCATCCGAGTGGAGGGAACCTTGACTGAGAGATTGCCTCTGTAAGATCGGACTGTAGGCCAACCTGCAGGTCAGTGGTTCTCAACCTGTAGGTCGCAACCCCCCATGACAACCCTCTACCTCCCAAAATATTTACAGTGTGATTCATAGCAGTAGCAAAATGACAATTATATAGTAGCAATGGAAATAATTTTATGCTTGGGGGTTACCGCAACAAGAGGAACTGTATTACAGGGTCACAGCCATTAGGGAGATGGGAAAGCACTGCTGTAGGGCATTTTCTTAGTGAGTAGTGGGGGAGGGCCCAGCTCATGGAAAGTGGAACCACTCCTGGGCTGGTGGCCCTGGGTTGAGAAAGCAGGATGAGGCCAGGCCTAGTGACGCACACCTTTTATCCCAGGCAGAGGCAGGCAGAGATCTCTGTGTTTGAGGCCAGCCTGGTCTACGTAGTGAGTTCCAGGACAGCCAGGATTATGTAGAGAGATCCTGTCTCACGAAAGGGGTAGGGGTGGGAGGAGCAGGCTGAGCAAGTCATGAGGAGCAAGGCCATAAGCAGCACCCTCCGTGGCCTCTGCATCAGCTCCTGTATCCAGAATCTGACCCATTTGAGTCTCTGCCCTGATTGCCTCTGATGATGGACTATGATTGGGATGTATAATCAAAATAAACCCTTTCCTCTCAAGTTGCTTTCGGGCATGGTGTTTCATCACAGAAATAGTAGCTTTAATTAAGATAGCATCCTAACCCTCAGACCTTAGAATACGGCTGTATTTAGAGACACATTTTAAAAAGAAGTAATTAATTTGAAATGAGGTCATACCTATGCCGGTATGTCTAGAGTCCTTATGAAAAGAGATTAGCAGGGGACGTGCTGCATACCTGCCAGTCCCAGCACTTGAGATGCTCAGGCTGGAAGACAGAGAGTTCAAGACCAGCCTCAGCTACATAGGGAGACCCCATCTCATTTAAAAAAAAATAGGTGGAGGAGCTTGGAAGACAGCTGCACACAGAGGGACAGCCCTGTGGGTACATAGGGAGAGGCCACAGGAAGAAAAGAGCCGATGCCTTGTCTCAGGCCTCTGGTCGCAGGGCAAAAGATCCTATAGCCTGTGCTGACTGACTCGGTTTCCCTCCCTCTTCTGTTGCCTCTTCCTCTGCCATCCCAGGTGACCCAGGCAGTGGCATGGGACAAGAGGGCATGCTGGGTTCTCTTTGACCCTCCCTCCTTCCCTGTTTTCTTCCCCGGGGCCCTGCTCTGCCCTGTGCTTGGTGGCCGCACGCCTGTGGGTCTGGCTTGCTGTGTACTCCGTGTTGTTCACACACGCAGCTGTGGGTGTCCCTGCTGGGACCTGTGACATAGGAGGCAGGTGGTGAGACTCCGTGGAAGCGGGCACTCCTGTCCGTAGGGGCAACGTTTTCTCCATCACGCTCACCGCCCCTGGACCTGTCATGTGTCTGTTCGTGGTCCTTGATTGTCATCTCCACTCTCTGTCTCACCCCCCCATGTGTTGTCCTCTCTTGTCCGGTGCCTAGGATGGCATCTGTGTCCAGTAGCTGTCCGTTGGGTGGACATATGATTGCAGAGCTGCACCGTGCAGCTCTGGCTGTGTGCCGCAGTCTGCAGAAGAGCTGACCTTTCTAAATGCAGGAGCCAGAATTCGGGGGTGGGCAAGCACACTGAAGTCCCGGTCGGTCCCAGTTAAGATGTATGCCACCGAACTTTGTGGGACCTCAGTGGGGCTCATGATCTCAGTGACAGTGAGGCCGATGTGCTGGCAGTCCTGACTCTCTGGCCACGGACATGGCAATCACCCTCTAGGAAATTGCCTCCAGTCACCCTGGGCCTGGGCTTTTTGCTAGTTGGCGGAGGAGACCTGTCAGGAAACGTCACATCTTGGAATTAAAGACTAGGAGGGAACGGGGCTCCGAGCTGCCTTCAGCAGGATCCCCTGAGCTCTGGCTGCTGTATCTGCGGCTACCTGCTCTCACCTGCTGCCTCCACCGTTCCCAAAGGAAATTGAAGGCGGCTGGGTCTCTGTCTCGGTAATTGAATTCCGAGTGAATGTGACAATTCTCACCCAGGCTCCTCCAGAGTGTTTCCTGCTTGCTCTTAGAAATGACATAGTAACAAACCCGGCAAATGTCCAATCAAACTTCTTGCGAGTGAAAATGTTAGAGACTGGGAGAAGGGGAGCCTGGAAGAACAGGCAAGCAGCCTTAAGGTTTTCTTACTGTGTTTACCAAAGTGTGCAGTCTGGGGCCCCGGGGAACACACCCCCTTCCCACACCCTCTGCAGCTGACCCAGGATCTCTTCTGCATCCCCCAACTGCCCATTTCGCTTTTGTTTTAAAATCACTATTTATTATCATCGTTATTATTATTATTATTATTATTATTATTATTATTATTATTATTATTATTATTATTAGTGTACGATGTGTGAAGGGGTCATTGGGTGCATAGAGAGGTCAGAAGACACTTTTCTGAGACAAGGTTTCACTGTGCAACCCTTACAGACCTGGAGTTTGCTATGTTGTTCAGGCCGACCATGAACTCACAGAAATCCACCTGAGTGCTGGGATTAAAGGCGTGTGCTACCTCATCGGTTAACTTTTATCGATCTATTATCTATCTATCTATCACTCTAATTAAAAGATTATTTATTATGTATACAATGTTTTGCATGTGTGCCTGCAGGCCAGAAGAGGGCACCGGATCTCACTATAGATGGTTATGAACCACCATGTGGTGTCTGGGAATTGAACTCAGCACCTCTGGAAGAGCAGCCAGTGTCCTTCACCTCTGAGCTATCTCTCCAGTCCCAACTTTGATTTTTAATAACATTTTTTAGGGTATTTTGAGCATTTTATACATGAATACTATTAACATCATTTTTATGTCCTCCACTCCCTCTTAAGTTCATGACCTCATCTTTAAATATATCTGTGTGTGTGTGTGTGTGTGTGCGCGCGCGCGTGCACAAATGCTTTCAGACATCTTTACAACCTAGTGAGTCCACTTAGTGCTGTTTATATGTGTGTGTGTTTAGGGCACTTGGTATGGCATGATCAGGTAGGGAGCTCATTCTCCCTATTGATGGCTGGTGGTTCTTCATCTAGGGGTGGGGCTTTGAGGTCTCTCCATGCCAACTGGTGTTGTCACCTTCCGGTCTTATTGAGGCACCCATGAGGTTGAGAGTTCATGGGTGCTGCCTTCCGGGAACATCTAGAAGGTACTAGCTAATAGCAGGGCAGAGCACACCTTCTGAGTAAACCCTCCCCTTCCTCTGTGGCTCCTGGCAACTGACTGCCACCACACATGATCCCCGGAGGCCACTTGACCGACTCTCTTCCAAGGCGTGCACATAGGCTTGTTCCGCAGAGCCTGCTTCAGCCTCAGCCGCCCCCTTCCCTCACAGTGCAGCTTTCGCCCAGTAGAAACGGCCTCCCGAGTCCAGAGTCTCCCGGCTCAGCACAGCACTCCTGGCCCCCTAGCACCCCTGGCTCCCTAGCACCCCTGGCTAGGGCACAGGTGGCTCCAGCCCCTTTAGCCCCGACACTGCCTCGTGACCGTGTTTCACGTCTCCACAGAAAAGCTGGCGCACTGCAAACTGAACGTGGCAGAGGTGACACAGTCTGAGATCGGGCAGAAGCAGAAGTTGCAGACGGTCCTGGAAGCCGTGCAAGACCTGCTTCGGCCCCACGGCTGGCCGCTGCGCTGGAACGTGGACTGTGAGTGGCCCCTGTGTGGGGAGGGGGTGTGGGGAGGAACCACCTTTTTGTCTTTCCGTATGGTCATCCATCATCCCATATGGCCTTGTGGTTAAAACACAGTGCTCCCTCCTCCAGGCTTTGTTTTGTCTTTGAGAGTCTCATGTAGCCCAGGCTAGCCTTGGACTTAAAGTGTAGCCAAGCTTGACCTTGAATTCCCTGTTTTCCTGTCTCTACCTTCTGAATGCCGGGATTACATGTCTGGCCCAGGGAGTTCTCGCTGGGACTTTACACCAGTTCAATTGCACAAAGAGAGCCCGTATTGGGATGGCTCACTGAGGCAGAGACCCAGCAGTCCATGCTAGCTCAGGAATGTCGCTTGTTACTGGCTTGAGGGGGTTGTGGCATTACAGAGGGAGAAGGAGGGGATGAGCTGGCTGAAAAAGCTGATGGCTTCTGCCCTGTCCTTGTCCACCTACCCTCACCCCCCCTACCCCCACATCCTCTGGCTCCTTACAAGGCAGGTGTGGTGTGGCATGCCACCAGAGCCTGTCCCTTCAGGGCCAGGAGGGCTCTGCGGCCTCCATAGAGAGCCCAGATCTTAGCTGTGGAGATGAGGCTGGCTCTGCCCCTGGTCTCTTGGCATGACTTTGGGTAGGCACGTCCTTCCCCGAGGTGCTGGGGCTGTGGATAGGAAGTGTCCTATCACAGGTTTGCTGTAACCTGGCCAGAAACTAGGGCAGGTAGCCAGGACTGACTGGGGGTCCAGAGCAGCCCCTATCGTTGTCGCCTCTCCTTATGGGGACAGCTGATTGATTGCAGAGCTGCAGAAGTTAGCCCAGCGCCAATGGTAATGAGATGCGCTATTGTGGTGGGAATGTGACTGTGACCTGGCCTCCCTGCCACCTGCAATTCTCTGCTTGAAAAGACACAATGCTTTTAAAAGTCGCTGCCAGGGTCAGGCAGGGTGACACACACCTTTAATCCTAGTGCTCCGGAGACTGAGGCAAGGGAATCATTGTGCTTTTCAGGCCCAGCTAGTCTCTAGGCCAGTTGGGGCTATATAGCGAGACCCTGCCTTAAAGAAACAAAACAAATAAACAAAAATAAAAACCCCAAACAATCTGGGCACAGGGATCTTTTCCGAGACTGATACTCCAACCAGGGACTATTCATGGAGATGACCTAGAACCCCTGCACAGATGTAGCCCATGGCAGCTCAGTGTCCAAGTGGGTTCCCTAGTAATGGGAACAGGGACTGTCTCTGACAAGAACTCAGTGGCCTACTCTTTGATCACCTCTCCCTGAGGGGAGTGCAGCCTTACCAGGCCACTGAGAAAGACAATGCAGCCACTCCTGATGAGACCTGATAGACTAGGGGAGGAGGACGTCCCCTATCAGTGGACTGGGGGAGGGGCATGGGTGGAGGAGAGTTGGAGGGTGGGATTGGAAGGGGACAAAGGAGGGGGCTATAGTTGGTATACAAAGTGAATAAACTGAAATTAATAAAAAATGAATAATAATAAAAAAAACCCTCAAACAATAACTAAAAAACCCCAAACCCAAACCAACCAGCAACAACAAAAATCCTAAAATCATGGTTGTCAAGTTGCCTTGGGCCAACAAGAAAGGAATAAAGAGAAGCCAGGCATGAGCTGGCAGAATTCCCCGGGGGCCTTATCATCCCTGTCTATCTGAGGTCACACTTCCCTCCCCTGGAGGTCTCCGTAAGACATACCCTAGAGACTGGTCCCTGGCTCGCTACGGCAGCTGACTGGAGGCCTCTGTTTTCTTCCCTCTCCACCCCAAAGCTATCCACGGGAAGAACTTGGTGTCCATTCTCCACCTCCTCGTGTCCCTAGCCATGCACTTCAGAGCCCCCATCCACCTCCCTGAGCGTGTCACCGTGCAGGTGGTGGCAGTCCGGGTGAGTACGCTACGCCGACCTAGCCCCTCTCTCTGTCTCGGAGGCCGGCTGACTTTCTCCTCTTGTAGTTTTCCAGCTCTTTCCCCTCTCCCATCCCGAGAGTCCACCTTCTGTTTCCCCCCCTTGATAAAATTCATATCTCACCCCGGCTGTCGGAGAGATGATTGGAGCAGGAACAATGCTGTTGATTTGGAGAGTGGCACACGGGTGTTGAGGTTTAATTTCCCAGATTTCTGAGGAGAACATTCATTTCTCTCCAAAGCCACCGAGTCGGAATTCAATCCCCTTGAATGTGCTTATTACTCACTGGAGGAGGCTGCGACCGGCAGAATGAAATAGACACCCAAATTAAAGGCTCTCCACATTTGCTCTGTATTATAAGCCATCATTCCCCATTATCTCTTTTTTTAGGTTCATTTCTCTTGATTTACTCAGAGAAGGGAGCCAGGACCTGGGGTTCTGCTAACAGGCGCAGGCCTGGGTCTGTTCTGTGTACGCTCCTGTGCGTTAGCATCCAAGCATGCAGGTGTTGGCCAGGCTTGGTTCCTGTGCACCCTTCACCAGTAAGCATGTATCAAACACCTACTGGATGCCAGGCATCTGCCTGTACTGCTGGGGACCCAGAGTAAGGATTACCCATTTTGGCCTGGAAGAGCCGCCATGTCTGCCAACGGGCTAAGGACCTATACGTCACTGGTGTTTATGTTTTTGGAGACACTCAGCTACACTCTGTTCTCTGAATTTTTCACTTATCTCTTCTGTGGTCTGTGGTCCGTGGGGACCTGGCTGAGCCTGTGTTTTCTGAAGCCATCCTGACCTCTCCGCTACCCTGGGAGCTTAGTGGTACCCTGCCGGGAAGGCCCTGTCTGACATTAAGAGATGGTCACCTGCCATTTCTCCCGGCTTCCCTCCCAGTCAGGATGTTTGTGGTCAGCGAGAGTGACGCAGACCCAGGGGGACCATTCCTGTGGCCCTAGTCTTGGCTGCTGGCTCCTAGGCAGTGGGCCTGGAAAGGCTTTCCAAGGACACAAGGGAAAACGGTTCCTAGACCTACCTACGTCAGCCTCAGGCCCCAAGAGTGCTGAGCGGGCTCACCGGCTGGGTTTTTCCTTTCAGTTTTACACATTGATCTAAGACAAGCTTGGGCTTTTGGAAAACCTGATCACCCCCCGCAAGCCCCCTCCAGCATGCTGTGCCTTAACTGGGGTTCCTGGGCTGCCTGCGCTGAGGCCAAAGTAGAAGAAACTGGGCGAGGAGGTTCAGCTGGATGGCAGCTTCTCAACATCACCAAGCCCCACTCAGTCTCTCTGCCTCTCCTGAGGTCCTCTGGGCGAGCTTATTTGAGATGGGGCAAGATGGGCATTTCATGTGGCATTTCATGGCTGGAAGGCCTGAGAGCCAAGCCTTGCTTACCCCCAGCAGCAGAAGCTTTGGGGAGAACTCTTGACTGCTCAGGGCTGCAGGGATTGGCCTACAATTCTGGGGTGATGTTGCCATTAGTTATCCAGCTTCAGGCACCTCATTGACGCTTATGCACATAAGTCAACCCAATACCTAGAGTTCTCTCTTGAGTGTCAGTTGGAATGAGGCCCGGAGTAAGCCAAGCTGAAGTCACCAGCTATGTTTCCTTGTTACCAAGGACCAGTCTACAAGAACCTTGGGGCCAGCTCAAGGAAGAGCAAGAGGCTGCCTGATTAGGACACAGGTTCCTGTCCCTCCGGAGCTTCAAGGGACATGTGGCTATGGTTACTTTGGTTGGCCTCTGGGAACTCCTGTCGCATGTGGGCTGCTGTCCACCATCACCTCTGCTCTCCTACTGGTGCCGCATATGCCTGTCAGCGTTGTTGCGGTGAAGTGCCACTAACTGGGGGCTTCAAGTGGCAGGTGGATTTCTTCTCCTAACACTGCCAGCTTCAGGAAAAAGCAGCCCTCTTTGCCCCATTCTGCTTCTACTGAGGCTGTCTGTCTTTAGTGTCCTGGGTTCATGGCCATGGGCCTCTGTTTCTGCTCTTTCATTTTTCAAGAGTGCCACTCCTCCCAGCTGCAGAGCTTTTATCACCATGTCACCTCTCTTAATTAATGTTGGAAGGAAAAGCATGTTCCAAGGTCCTGGGTAGACGTGTTCGGGGGATCCTGTTTGACCTATTACCCACATGTTTTTTCCTCTGGTGTCTCTCCAACATGACTTGTGAACTTTCTGACTTCCCATATCCCCTGCCCCAGCTGTAGCATCTGGCCTTTATTTGGTGGTTCTTGCCTGGGATGTTTCTCTTGAGCCTTGCTTAGTGACCATATCTCAGGGCACCAAGGAGAACAATTTGGGGATAGTCACAGACACTGAAAGGGTCCCCTTTGTGGTCGTCTGGAGTATACCTGTCCAGGTATGAAGTGTACAGCGGGGTATGTGGCCCTTCTTTGGCTGCTGTCCAGCCCAGGGTCACCTGGGAGGGGATTACCCATGAAATGATCAGCCCATGTTCTCTACTTCACTCGTGCCCTGTGGTCTGGGTCTTAATTTGCTTGCTTCGGGGTTTTCAGAAGCGAGAAGGCCTGCTGCACTCCAGCCACATCTCGGAGGAGCTGACCACGACCACAGAGTAAGTAAATGGCAGCTGCCCCCGGGGCTCTGTACCTCATGCCAATGGCCCTTTGGGACCCATGCCTCATGCAAGCTCCAGGCTCTGGCTTCACTGGCCCCGGGGGAGCCCGTATTCCTTAATATTAGCTAGTTTGAGTATGTGAGTTTTTGTGCAGGTACCTGCTTGCCTCCTTCCTCCACATACTTCCTTCCAGGCTTTCCGTGTTAGACTCTCTCCCTCCTCAGAGGCTTTCTCATTCCTTATTTTAGAAGGTGAACTGAAGGGATGGTTCAGTCAGTAGAGTGCTTGCTGTGGGAGCATGAGAACCTATCCTCAGCACCTACATTAAAAAAAAAAATCAGGTACAGGGGTGCATATCTCTAACTCCATCACCGGGGTGGCAGAGACAGAAAGATCAGTCTGTCTGTCTAGCCAACTCAGTGAGAGACCCTGTCTCAAAGAATAAGTTGGAGAGTCCTGTTTGTCTTTTAGTTTTTCTTTTCACATGTCTATCACCAGTTGCTCCTGTAGAGGGAGGAACTGTGTGGCTGTTAGAACTGTCCTATGGTAGACACTGTTGAGTCCTCTGGGCTCTTTGAGAAAGCCAGATTTTTTTTTTTTTTTCAAAAGCTTAGAGGAACTTGACCCTAATAGCAAGTGAACCACATGTGTGGCCCCCGTGCTCCATGATGGATCCTAGGAACTCACCGCCTCTGCTCCTCCTGACTAACCTTGTTTCAGTGTTTAAAACATGGACTGTGTCAGCTAGCTCACTAGCTCCATTCACACAGATGCTAAGGCTGTGTGTGCCATTACAGCCTTTCAGCAGCTGACTGGCACAGAATCCACTCAGGCGTGGTGAGTGGGCTGCCAGAGAAACTGAAGATATGGCAGTGTGCCCTGTTGTGTGTGTGTGCGTGTGTGCGTGCGTGCGTGCGTGCGTGCGTGTGCCATCCTGCTCCAGGCATCCCCCAGGGAAGGACAGATAGCTGGTAGGTCAGGCGGTTGTATGTTGTGCCAGCCCCGTGGGTCTGTGGCTGCAGAAGGGTAAATTCAAGGAATGGAGTGTGGGGTGGGGGGCTTGGTAGCCTGTCTTGTGAGATGCTCTCTCTGAATCATTTCATTTCCTCACAAGCCAGCCATCAGCCATGTGAATGGGCTCAGCCAGGCAGTTCTGCTCATCTTGCTGTGGCTGGTCCTGTGATAGGTATATCTGAAGGCTTCCCAGAGCCTTCTCTCCCTGCTTATCGTCCTCATGGGTTGAGCTTCCTCTCCAGTTCCCTTCATGGTCTGCGAGAGTGAGTACCCTCATCCTGGGTTCCTTTTTTTTTTTTTTTTTTTTTTTTCTGTGAGTCTTGGGTCATCCCAGGTCACGGGTTTTCAGGAACAGACTCCACCTTCTGACCTTGAGTGGTCCACGGACCTGTGTGTGTGGGAAGCGGCATAAGCCATCTGTTGCAGTCTGCTCAGGGTGAGGGGGACCAGAGAAGGTAACAAGAGGTACTAGGGACCCCACAATTATTGGGGGCAGAACCTGAAAGCAGAGAGAGTAGTTTGACCGGTGCCCTCCTGACAGCCTACTCGCTGTGTCCAGTGCTCTGGGGCCTGCTGTGTGCCCATTGGAGCTGGTCATGGGAGGAACAGGGTGTGTGTCGGACATGGAGGGCCCTGTGGTGGACTCACAGTAATCTACCTGCCTCTGCCCCTCCAGTACTGGGATCAAAGGTGTGTCCTTCTGGTTTCCTAGGGCGTCTCCCTCCAGAAAGCCCTCCCAGCTTGCAAAACAGAAGTGAATGGCCTTAGTGTAGCCTTTTATGTCTTTTCTTGTTACCAGCCTTGAGCTGAGGAGGAGAAACGCTGGCCTGCATGGGCTCAGAGTGTCTGGTTCTGTGTCTTTATGTCCTGCAGATAGTCCGTCTCTCTGGTTAAGTGTTTAATAAGATGGAGCCCAAGGATTTGTCCTAGAAGCAGGTGTCTGGGGACCGACTGCATCTCTTAACTTTGGGAAAAGAGCAGGTGGTTGGTAGCTGAGCTGCACGAGAGACTCACCCTCATCCTTCTCGAGGTTGGCTCCAGAGTCATGCCTCAAGGGTCTTTGAGAACTTAAAAGTTCTCACAGGTTATCTTAATTTACTTTCCGTAGTTGAAATAAACACCATGACTGTCTTAGTTAGGGCTTTATTGCTGTGAAGAGACAGCATGACCATGGCAACTCTTAGGAAAATATTTAAGTGGGGCTGGCTTACAGTTTCAGAGGTTTAGTCCATTGTCATCATGGCGGGAAGCATGGCAGTGTGCAGGCAGACATGGTGCTGGAGGAGGAGCTGAGAGTTCTACATCTTGATCCACAGGCGGCAGAAGGAGACTGTGTACCACTCTGGGTGGAGCTTGAGCATAGGAGACCTCAAAGCCCTCCCCCACAGTGACACACTTCCTCCTACATGGCCACATCTCCTAACAGTGTCACTCCCTATGGGCCAACCATTCATACACGTGAGTCTATGGAGGCCAAACCTATTCAAACCACCACAATGACCAAAAACAACTTAGGGGGGAAATGGTTTATTTCAGTTTACAGTTGAAGTCTATCACTGAGGGCAATCAAGCCAGGAACTCAAGGAAGGAACCTGGAGGCAGACGCTGAAGCAGAGGCCATGGAAGAGAGCTGCTCACTGGCTTTCCCAACCTGCTTTCTCATAAAACCCAGGTCACAGACACAATCAACTCAAAGCAAAAACAAACTCCAGCAGCTGTACTTGCTTTGTGTCTGACATCTGGGACTCACTATCTTCTGGGCTCCAAGGAGCCTGGGCAGCTTTACCTTTCTGGCTTGCAACTTCACAGCACACACAACTTGTCTCCTAGGCTCTGACTCCATAGCACACCTGCTGATTTCCTTGGTGCTCATCCCATATACTGGCAGCTCCAAAATGCTGTGGTCTCCACCCATGGCCTCCTGGCCTCTCTTCGGGGACTCTGACCCTACCACATGTTGCCAGGCCTTTCTCCGTGACCCCTTCGATCCTGGGGCTTCTACTGCAACTGAGGTTGTCCTCTCATCAATGACGTCTTCTGGTCTTTCACAGTGCCAAGCCTCAGCTGCTCCCCATGACCCCTTCATGCCTTCAAAACCAACACCACCAGGGGGAATCTTACACACTACCAAGTTCAGATGCCAGCCCCAGATGCAGCCCCTATGCTGACCCTGAGGAAGCAGGTCCCAGGTTTCACCTCGGTGATGCTGGTCTCTTGTTTATAACGGCTGATTCTTCAGTTCCAGCTCAATAGAGCCACACCTTATTTCAAAATAGCACATATTCAGCCCCATAGAGTCTTTGAGGAACTCTCAAAATTCCCTCCAAAACGTCACAAGCAAGATCTCCCAGCATTCTCTTCCAAGTTCCCACCACAGCTCATTCATCTTTAAGCATTCAGTGGTTTTTCTAGCCCAAAACTCCAGACCCCTTCCTCACTCACCCTCTCCCTCAGAGGTTCGCAACCTTCCTAATGCTACAACCTTTTAATACAATCCCTCATGTTGCGGTGACCCCCGCCAACCCTAAAACTATTTTCATTGCTACTTCATCACTGGGATCTTGTACTGTTACAAATCATAACTTTAAATATCTGATATACGACCCCTGAAAGGGTTGTTCTACCCCTAAAGGGTTCGGGACCCACAGGTTGAGAAACACTGCTCTGTCTGATGGGCACAGCTGTGAAACAGTTCTGCTAGAATCAACATACTCCCAATTCCCATGATCCATCATGTCTGTCCTCTCTAGATGGTATACCAGATTGGTCACTGTGTCAGAAAAGAGGGCAGTTTGCTGTCACTCAGTCATCCACACATGCCCCTCATGTCTGCTAGGCTAGAGCAGAGAGGAGGTCCATTCGTGCTGGGGGCCCTGAGTCTGGGTGCCAGGGGTCTGGTTGGCTTTACCTGCCTCCCTTTAAAGACTGGGTCCAAGTGACCATCTGACTTTTTGTTCTTGTTCACAGGATCATGATGGGCCGGTTTGGTAAGTACCCTGGTTTGGGGTGGGACACACTGAGACCCCTGGGCACACAGGGGCCAACCCAGAAAGCTCTGGGGTTCTCAGGCAGGAGGGGTGAGGCTTTCAGGAGGGGGGAATGTCAGCATGGAGAATGTCTCTAGCTTACCTGCAGGGAAGAAGGGAGAAAAGGAGGTGACTACTCACCCTTCTGCCCCTGTCCTCTGGACAAGAGGGGGCAGACGAAGGGATCAAAAACCTTTGGCTGCATTTAAACCATCAAAGGCAGAGGCCTGGCTCCTGGCTTAGGCAGGGAGGCCAATGTGGGCAATTCAAAACAGAAAGTACCTCGGCCACTCTAGCGTGTTCTCCAGCTTGTGGGAAGGGGAGAAGGCTGTTAGAGGAAAAATGGAAGCCAGATAGAAGCTCCCAGTTCATTTCCGGATGTGTGCCTGGCACTGGGGAATCCTTGAGGGAGAGGCAAGTGCCATTTCCAAAACCCAGAGCCTTTCTCTGACCTGGAAGTTCTGCTCTGAGGAGAGTGGACACAGCTCTGACGGTGTGGAAGGCCTTGAGTTTGAGAGAAAGCTGCAGCCGTGTAGCCCCTGAGCCTTTGCTAATGGACGGGAGCTATGCTTGTTGGGGAAAAAAATCTACAGGCTTCTTTAGCATTTTGTTAAAGCAGCTCCTTTCTCCTGCTTCCTTCCTAGTCTTTATGTCACTATTTTAAACACAAAGGAAGACTGAATAGGAGGCAGAGGACAGATAAGGTGGAGGCAGACATGGGTCATGTGGGACCCCTGGCTGTGCTCAGGTACAGGCTAGTTTAGAGACACGTCTCTCCCCGTCACCTCCTCTACATGGAGGAGGCTCTGAGCCCGTGGGGATCACAGAGGTGGAAAGATGACAAATGAGGACCCGAGAGTGCCTGAGAGTGGAGTTGTCACAGTCTGCGTTTGGGTTGGCCCCATTTCAGGTTCACAGGATTTGAAAAGGGTTGGCTTGGCTGCTGGGGATGGGGGTTGGAGGTTGGGGATGGAGTGGGCCCATTCGGTATCTTGGGGGCCACCAAGCTGGGAAGAACCTGGTCAGGTGTGCAGGCTGTGGCTCCCAAGGGGAGGGCCAGGTGAGCCAGGACTCAGCCACACTGCTGGGGACATCTGAGGCCGCACGAGGCCTCCTAGGAGGCTGTGCTCACTTTTACTTCTCGAAGGCTCTGGCGCAAGATGAAACAGGCTATTAGCTAGTGACAGGCAATTAGTTCCGCCCCCGCCTTGCGCTTCTGCTGACGCAAGGAGGTCTCCTAGTTACGAGGCTGACAGCCTGAGCCTTGGTGCAGTGAGTCCTGGGGCTCCCAGGCACATGGCTATCCTGGGATTTCTGGTCACATCTGGCCTCACTGCCCTGCCAGGGTCTGGTCACACAACTACATTGGTGCACAGTCGATTCCACCCTGCATTTCTGTTCGGCTCCTTTGCACATTGCTGAGGAGGAAGGGCTCAAACCATCCCTTGTCATTCTGTTTCCTGTCCACTGTCCCTACAATGGCCTCTCAGGACACCCCAGACATCACATCCCCTGTAGCCTGCTTGTTTCCTCACCTCCTGAGTGTCCAGGCCCAACCTTGTGACTCTCTCATAGCCACTGCTCTCCATTTGAGATGCCCTCCCTAAATTACCCTATGGTTCCCTCTTGCATTGGCTGAACTGTCGCTCACCAGGGATCCCCTGCTACAAACCAGCCTGCACCTTCTCTGCGACCTTCAGCTTAGTTATGTCTATAATCGTCTGACACACCCAGAGCCAGCCCTCCTCCCAGGAGCCTCACAATGTGTGTGTGTGTGTGTGTGTGTGTGTGTGTGTGTGTGTGTGTACTTGTCCCAGGACAATGGTGCAATTGTTGGTTGTAGGCACATCCAATGTCTCTTCCTTCCCTCGGGGGCTCTAGAAGCCACCACCCCTCTGCATGATCTCAGCAGCCCTTCCTGGACCACTGTCCAGTGTGTGGAGGTTCCAAGACAGCAGGAGGACCCTCCACGGCTGGTTTAGCTGGAACCAGTTCCCTTCGCCCGTTTGGCCTTCAAGTGTTGCGCCCAGCCGATGTGGCTCTTCCCTGGTTACTCTCCCATCACTCTGTTAGATGATGGGGTGCCCGGCCCCTTTCCATCAGCATCTTGTCCTGGCTGAGGTGGGAGCAGGTTTTCCTCTCCCTGGAAACAAGTCTCCTGGGAGCTGGGAGGTTACAGCCTGGTCTCCATAGCAACGGCTTTGCCAGTTGCCTTTTCTCCAGCTGGTGGCCCTTCCTCCCCAGTTCCCCCACTCTGAGCCCTTTCTGAGGCTGTCAGGATGGGGGTAGGGGGGGAACAAGGGCGGAAGCACCTTCCTCGTCTGTCCTGTGCTCGCTGTGACCCAGTCTCTTCCGTTCACCTCTCCAGCTGAGCCTGTGCTAAATTAAAACTCTCACCTCATGCTCACACTCTTGGTCACCCAGGACACCACTCTGAAGGATACAGCTCCTGACAGCCTCCCCTCTCAGGCCATCCTGCTCTTGAATCTGGCTCTCTCGAGTTTCTCTTTGCACATTCTCTTCCCTCTGGCTGGAATGCCCTTCCCCTTCTCATCTGTCCAGCAAGCCTGGCTCAGACTTCAAGGCTCTTTCTGACATCCTTCCATTACTCCAAATCTGGCCCATGGGTGCAGACTTGGGTGCTGCCAGAGATCAGCCTAACAGAGTTGCTCAAACCCCAGTAGCTGAAGGTTATGGCAATGGGATACCTGGGAAAATAGGAGCTCCCATTCTTGGCTCAGGTGCAGCACCTTGATGAGAGGTGGGGTGTGCTCCCAGCTTTTGTTTTCAAAGGGAGTCAGAAACGTAGGTTAGGGAGCACCTTCTGGTCTAATGGAGACTGAAGCTCCAGGGGCAGATCTGGGACCCTCCTGTTTGTGCCCTTCCCAACTAGTGACTTCCCCGGCACAGGAGGGAGATTGGTAGGGGATCCAGACATGCTGAGGTTTGGGCTTGTCCCTGAGACCCCGCCGCTGCTCTTGATGCTCACAGGGGTGGTGGGGAATGGATAGGGTTACAGAGGAAGAGCCCCTTTGGCTCGGGAAGGGACCTGAAGTCTGTGGGTAACCCAGTGAGGGTTTGAACCCAGTTCTTCCCTGACCCCACCACCCCTTTTGGGAGCCCCTGGTCCCTCCTGGCTACGGGGCCACATGATTTGTCTTTTAGGCCTAGGTAAGCAGCTAGTGTGGGAGACGCCAGGCAGCCGCCCACGTAGCCCTCTGCCAGCCCAGCAGTGGCCCAGCTAAATAAACCAGTGACGTCAAGAGCCTCAGCTCCTGGGGCTTTGCCTAAGCCGCTTTGCGGGGCTGCACTGCTTCAAGAGGACTAAGCTCCTTTTGCCCCTTTACAGATTGTTTTCTGGGGGATAATCTGACTTAGCTGGTTATGGAAGTGAGTGACATCTGGTGCTAACTGAGGGTGGCTTTTCGTCCCCACTGGCCCTTAGGGGAAGGAGCTGCCTCCCTTCAACAGACACACATGCTCATGTACACATGCAGAAGCAAACGGTCCCTTCTCTCCATTTTGCCTCTTATCTTCCCTAGGGCTGAAAAAGAGAGGCCCCACACTGGATGGAGCTGCCTCCAGACCCTAGTCTGAATCTTTGGCACCTTCATCTTGGGGCTAGGTTGGAGGGAGGCTTCCTTTAGACAGTCCTGGCTGGCTCTTCTCCCAGGAGTCCTGGCTAATCAACTCACCCCAGCCTTCTTTATTCTCCTCCTTGGCACCCTGAAGTGGGAGAAGGCTCCCTGGGCCCTACCCCTCCAGCCAGGACTCTTGTGTTGAAGCTGGGGGTAGAAGGCCTCTCTGCTAGCTCCTTCTCAGGAGCACACACTGCCTCAAGAACCAAGAAGTCAGAAGTCAGTGCTGAGGTCCCTTCCACTCCCTCTCCTTCTTCTGCAGCACTCTGCTGGCCCTGGAGGCCCCTGGTCACTGCCTCTGCCTGACCTGGCTATAGCCTTCTATCCCAACGACTTCTGTATTCCCCACTTCGTACAAATATTGGCAGACACTGGGGGTCAAAGGGCATCTCTGGAGAGATTCTAGGTTCTGATCAAAGAACAGAGCAGAGACATGCAGTGCAGCCAGAGCAGACTGAGGAAAGATCCGAGATTGAGGAAGTGATGCCTCCAACGTGGACAGCTGAGCCCGCTAGTTACCTTACAGCCAACTTTCCCCTCATTTGCATAGCAAGGGTGTTTCGGTTCATTTGCATAGAGTAGGCTTTTCTGAGCATGCGCTATTTGTCACATGTCGTTCACAGAAAATCCATGTGTCAGCATGTCTCACTAGCATCTTAAAATCTGCCCCCCAGGGGAGTGCCACACTGTTTCAGTGAGTCCTGGGCCACCCGCAGACACTTTGGAGTGCACAATGTCCTGAGCCAGAGGCACATGCAAATTTTCAAACTTAAATTTTTTCCTTTTCTTTGTCAGCCTTGGTGGGCCGAGGGTGTGTTCATCGCGGTTAGGGATGGGCTTGGGGGGGGGGGTTCCAGTGTTCCACTTTGCCAACTTGTCCTTTTCATATGCTAATTTTCAGAGGACTTTGGTCCTCTGGGGCCAGAGGACCGAAGAGAGTAGGGGGGGATGAAGACTTCTGTGCTGATTGGGGGGGTGGATGGCAGCTTGCACACACGTGGCAGTTAGAGCAGACTGTGGTTCATTTGAGAAGAAGAAGGTGATGGGACACCTCAGGGGGAAATGAGCTGCCTGCACAGGTATCCTGCAGAGGACACCAAGGGCTCCCTGTTGCAGGAGTCAGAGACAGGGCCAGGAGTGGGAGAATCTCCCCCCTCTCCAGGAAAGTCAGGGGCCGAAGGTCCAGCAGACTGCGTTGCAAGGAGAAACTATATTTTCAAGCTGTGATAAGTACAAGGCTACACCCTTTCCTTGGAGAGCAACCGGTGGGGGGGGGGGGCAGTGAGGCTCTGTTAAAGACCCCGGGGGCATGTTAGTGCTTGAGGGATGCTGGAGTGCAGAGAGGCTGCTCTTTGGTCAAGGCTGGGAGATGTGTGGGAGGGCCGCCATCTTGTTATACCCATGGGAGTGAGGTTGGACCGAAGTCTAAGATGATGAGAGGTTGGGTTTGGGTAGGCTGGTGGTGGGCAGTCATCCAGAGTCATCATGCATTTTTAGAGACTCTGGCTGCCAAGGGGCAGGAGGCCAGTTGAGCTGGAGGCTGTGGCTGCCCCCAGGTGAGGGGAGGTGGACCAGGCCTGGGGGCAGCAGGCATGGGCTTCACGGAAAGTTAGTGAAAGTTCTTAGGAAAGGAGAGGCAAAGATGCCTCGGGTGCCCAAGTGTGACCTGGTATTCAGTGCCCAGAGCTTTACTAATATTAAGGAATCTCTACACAGCTCTCAATCATAACACAATCCCGGTTTTATTCATACTCTGGGGCTGTGTCCACGTGCAGGCTCCTCTGCTCTGGATAAAACTAGAGGGGATCAAGCAGGCCGGAACTCTGAGGCAGGACATCCTGAGGGGGGCCAGGGTGGCTGATTGAGACCAGGAGTTCCTTTCTAGAACTCCTCTCTGTGTTCTCTCTTGCATGTCACGAAGAGCGGGATGCCTTCGACACACTTTTTGACCACGCACCGGATAAGCTCAACCTTGTGAAGAAGGTAGATTCATCTCCCCGCCCCACTACCCCGACCCCCAACATCTCATACCCCAATGGGACTTGCGCCTGTGCAGACTCTGTCTAAGACTTTGCAGACCCGAGACAGGCTGAGATGGTGGTGAGAGATATTTGGAATTTCTAAGGTTTGCCTTATGTGTTGAGACTGCATTCAGCAATGTGTGCCGTGATGGTGCTCTTTTACGATAGAGCCATGTAGACCAAACCGAATGGACAGTCCGAAGGTACAGCTTGATCCCTGTGGGCTCTGTGCCATTAAAACTTAGGGCTGGCTTAAGAGCGTGGAGCCTGACACAGTCATTTTGTTACAGCTGTCAGAGAAGGGTTTGAAGCGTCTCAGCCTGCCATGCTGGGGGGCTTAGGTGGGTGGGTGGGGTCTGCGGAAGGTTGCTGATGTTGCCTTTGCCTCTCTGCCCGGACAGTCTCTCATCACGTTTGTGAACAAACACCTCAATAAGCTGAACTTGGAGGTGACCGACCTGGAGACCCAGGTAGGCAAGGCTTTGGGGGAGGGTCCCCTCTGGCCTGTGGTTCTAGCAGCTCTCAACTTAGGTGGGGAGTGGGAACAAGTGGGACCGCCTTGCCTCTCGGGAGGAGCTCCCAGGCTGTAGCCCACAGTGTTTATTGCTCCAAGCTGGCTGCTCACACCTCTGATTCCTGTAGCTGTGGCAACCAGAGACTGAAGGTGGAAGCCAGGGGCTCTGCAGGCTGAGTCCCCAGGGACCCAGGGCTGAAGCCTGGGGCTCTGCAGGCCTGGTCCAGAGTCACCGTGTGGGCGGACTGTCTCCTTCCCACTGCTTCTGTGCTTTCGGCAGGCGGGAGTCGGTGTTCTTGCGTCCGTAGATGTATTACTTCCATCTTCTGCGGCCTCCTCCTGTGTCTGCATTCTGCACACGGCTCTCTGTGTTGTTTCTCCCCCACCCCACCCCCCGTCCCGTCTGCTTCCCAGAGTTAGTGTCTAGAAATGGACACTCAAGAGCAAGGGAACATCGCACTGGACTAGAGCCCACCCCAACGGCATGAGAACAAACAGAGACCCTGTTTCCAAATGAAGTTGCGCACATAAGGTCTAGGGGTTAGGATTCCAGCCACAGGCCCTTTGCTTCGATGGCCTCTGGGTCTAGAACATTCCGCACCTTCTGCTTCAGTGGTGGAGACAAGGCAGCTTCACATTTGGCCTTGTGGCAGCATGGAGGCAATCCCCTATCCAACCCGGGGCCAGCAAGGTGGCTCAGCTGACAAAAGGGATGACAGGGCCAGGCAAGCCTGATGACAGGTGTTTGATCCCCAGGGACCCACACGGTGGAAGGGGACAACTGACTCTCTGCACATTGTCCACTGACTGCACGGGCGCCGTGAGCCGAACCTGATGCCCCGCCCCCTACATCACTCGAATTCCAAGGATAGTAATAAAATAAGCATCCATTTGGTGAACAAGGACAAAACACTTCTGCCAAATGTAGAGCGCCGTTGCAGTGACAGTCTCCAAGCACACACACAACACACCTTGAAGGCCCAACAGGATTTTTCTCGCTCGGTTGTGTGGTTCAGTTCAGAGCCGCCCCTCCACCCCCCAATCCTCAGAGCAGGCAGACGTCCCTAAACGCATAGCTTATCCTCTAAACCCCTGGGCGTTTTCTTCTATTGCTTTCTCTCCCTCTAACTTCTCTCATTTGCTTTTCTAATTAAAAAAGTAATTCAGGTTCATCGCAGAGGTGTCTGAAAATGAAGATAAGGAAAACAAACAAAAGTCACTATAATCTATCACCCTGAGGGCTCTGCACGCCAGGGGGTTTGTTCTGAGGACTTCTCCTGGGTTTTCGGGATGGAGGCAGTGTGTGTGTGTGTGTGTGTGTGTGTGCGCGCGCGCGCGCGCGCGAGCGTGAGAGAGGGAGAGCGCGCTCAGGCGCACATGCGTTCGCGTGATTCGCAAACTCGTCTCTTACCCTGAGCTATTTGCTCATGCAGCATGCTTGCTGTGTGACATGTTAGATTTCTTGAAACTTGGGAAGCCTAAGTGAAAAGCTGTTTCTCTTCCTCCCTGCTGCCCCCACCCCCAGCTCCTTTCAGAGTGTTCATGCATAAAACAACACACTGTCTTTAATAACGGTCCATCACGCCGGACAGCTGTTTTGTAATGTGTTGTTTCTTCTCTCCCTAAATACATTTGGGCATCTTCTTCCGAGAGATGGATGTCTCTGTCTGAAGCTATTTCTTTTCTCAGTCTGTCAGTCGGTCATACTCATTTTCTTGCTGTCTCTTTTCCTTTCCTCTCTCCTTTCCTCCCTCCCCCTGCTCCTCCCTCCATCTCAAGACAGGAGAGTCACCTTTGCCTTGGATCCACTTTGTAGCTCAGGCTGGCCTTAAATTTTTGGTGATCCTCCTGTGTTAGCCTTCCGGGTGCCAGGGTTTATAGGCACGCCCCGCCGTGCCTGGCATGGTCTTCTTTTAACAGTAACCTTCTGAGGCTGAGAGGTTCAGCCGGCTCACTTGCGTAGCATCATGCTGAGCATGCTTCAGGCTCTTGGGTACCCTACCTGGCACTGTTAACATAATTTCCACAGTTATTTGTGCCCTGGCTGTTGGGGGGAGGGGAGTTAACATCTAGAAATGAAGGCAGCATGCACCCATGAGGCCTGGGAAGGTCTGATCATGGAAGCTGGCTCCAGCTGAAGCCCTCCCATCGTTTCTTATGTGACCCTGCATTTTTGCACATTTTTTTTTTTTCTTCCCCGACATCATATAGTGCAAGGCAGGCAAAGTCTGCTTGAGCTATCACTGGCATCCTATTAAAGTCTGTGCTTGGTGGCCGGTCCCTAGGAAGGCCTGCCACCCACTTAAAATTACTTTATGGCTTTTTGCTTCTTAGGGGAAATTTTCCCCAAAGCTCCTGGTTCTTAGAATCAGATATTTGTGATGTTCATTTATGTGCCATAGGGTGGGAGTCTCCAAGGCCCGTCAGGAGAGTGGGAGGCCTGGCTGAAAGGGTCTGAGCTTTTAAAGGGTCCCTCCCCCTTCTTCATGCTCTCCTTTACATATTTGGAGATGCTAGTCTCTAGAAGCTGAAGGTCTCCAAGGTGGCTGGCTGTCCCTTCCCCTCCTACCTCTCCAGGAGTCCTGTTTGGGAATCTTAGAAGAGCCCTGACTGGTGGGTCACCTGTAATGGTAGAGGTATTCTGTGGGTGCGCCATTTACTGCTGCAGTTGCTGGCCATGTGCGTCGAGGCTGAAATCTGTCTAGTACCACCGGAAACTACCTTTTTTTTTTTTTTTTAAAGATTTATTTATTTATTTCATTATGTATACAGTACAATGTTCTGCCTGCATGTACGTCTGAACACCAGAAGAGGGCACTAGATTTCATTATAGATGGTTGTGAGCCACCATGTGGCTTGCTGGGAATTGAACTCATGACCTCTGGAAGAGCAAGCAGTGCTCTTAACCTCTGAGCCATCTCTCCAGTCCCCACCTTTCATATTTTAGTGCAGTTTTAAAGAGCGAGATTCAGAGGCCAGCAAAATGGTTCTGAATGAAGACGATTGCTGCCAAGCCTGATAACCTGGGTTTGATCCTGGAACCTGCACGGTTCGGGGAGAGAACTGACTCCCACACATTGTTCGCTGACCTCGACATGTGCACCCTGGCATGCGTGAGCACATGCATACACTCACCGAATAATGTAATTAAAGGAAGCTGGAGAGATGGCTCCGTGGTCAAGAGCAGCTGTTGCTCCCGTAGAGGACCAGGTTTGACTCCCGCCACCCACATGGTGGCTCACAACCATCTTTAGCTCCAGTTCCAGGGGATCCAGTGCCCTCTTCTGGCTCCCGTGGACACTGAGCATGCCCATTGTGCTCATACATACATTCATATGTACACATGTACGTACTTGAAGGTAGCACACTCATGCACAAAATAAATCTAAAAATAAAAGACTGTCGTCAAATTCAGGAGATTTGAACATTGCTTGCTCGGTAGGGGTGCTTCCGGCTGTTTACATTTAGTGGTGAAGGTGTATAAATAGCCATAATTTAAATGGTTTGACAAGGAAAACAGCCAACAGGGTCTGGGTGTGAAAGGACAGGTACCACGTGATCCGCTTTCGTGAGTTCCGCCGAGAATAAAACCCCTGGAGGTAGAGAGGATGGCACGGATTCCTAATATCAACACCTGGGAGGCTGAGGCAGGAAGATGGCTGAAAATTCCAGACCAGGCTAGGCTAGAGCAAGAGCCTGTTTAAAAAAACCCTGGGCTGGGAGAGTGGGCTCAGGGGGTCAGAGCACACGCTGTGGAAATATGAGGACCTGAGTTCAAATCCCCAGCACCCAGGTAAAAAGCCAGGTGTGGTCATGTGCCCCTGTAACCCCAGGGCTGTGGAGGGAGCAGACGGGAGGATCTGTAGGGTTCACTGGCCAGCTAGACTAGCTGAAAATGGTGAGCTTCAGGTGCAGTGAGAGATCCTGTCTGAGGGAAATACAGCAGAGAGCAATACAGAAGGACACCTGATGTCCGCTGACCTCTGCATGCTTAGCTATAAGTGTACTCATACATACATAACACCCTGTAACACATACACACATACACACACACACACACACACACACACACACACACACACACACACACATGGAAACAAAGCCCCAAATTCTAGCACCCAGAAAGCTGAGGCAGGAGAATCGTTTTGAGTTTGAGGCCAGCCTGGGGTACATAGCATGACCCTGCTTCAAAAGATAAAACACAACAACGACACCAATAATAGGAGCGTGGGGTTTCCTAGGGAATCAGTGCTCCACGGAGACAGAATTCTGGCTGGTGGGGATGGTGCACGACAGTATGAATGTTCTTCTTGCCACCGGAGCATCTAAAAGGGATGAAGACAGGGACCAGTGAGATAGCTCGTTATCAGGTTAAGGTATTTGCTACCGAGCCTGAAGGCCTGAGTTCAACCCCCAGGACCTACCCACCGACTCCTCCTACAAGTTGTCCTCCAAATGCGCGCTGTAAATATGTGTGCACACATATGTACAAAAAAACAAATAAAAATGGAAGGGCTGGAGAGATGGTTCAGTGGAGTAGAGCACTTGTTGCTCTTCCAGGGTGTCTAATGCTTTCTTCTGACCTCTGTGGGCACCAGGCATACACCTGTGCACATACATACATACATACATACATACATGCAGGCAAAACACTCATTCACATAAAATAAATCTTTAAAAAGTTAAAATTGTTTTCAGCTGGTTAAGTTGGTAAATTTTGTGTTATGTATCTAAGGCACCCATTGCTACCAAAACAGAAGCAGCTGGTGCCCCTTCCTGGCTTGCTCAAGGAGGGGCATGAGTGTCAAGAGGGAGGGTTCTTTGTCCTGTACCCCTGGTCCCCTCCTGTGGGTGACTAGGATGCGGGACTCTTTCCCTGAGCTCTGCCGAGAGTTCGAAGGGCAGTGTGGGACTGCTGGGTGGGGCTCGGGGCCTGGGGTGAGTCTGCTCACCCCGCTCATGCCCCAGGACTGTAATTGAGTTTTCTCTGCAGTTTGCGGACGGCGTGTACCTGGTTTTACTCCTGGGCCTCCTCGAAGACTACTTTGTCCCCCTTCACAACTTCTACCTGACCCCTGACAGCTTTGACCAGAAGGTGAGTGCCTTGTCTCCCGGCACTGTCCCCAGCCATGCCCAGTGGGGCAGGCAGATGGAATGTCCCCGCTGCACTGGTCAGCCGCAGAACCTCGGTATCCTTCAGCGTGTGGGATTCAATCCCAGAGAGCTCCCTGAATGGGAAACCCTTGGTGCCTGTATGTTGCTTGGCCATGACCCTCCACATCAAATGCCACACACAGCCCTCTGGGCTTCCCTGCTTTGAGAGACTCCAAGTGTCGTGTCCCGAGGTGACACATATGTGACTCTGCAGCATGCTCGTCCGTGTGCCTCCTGCTGAGTGATCCTGGCTGCGTCAATCTGCTTCTATTTTTCCTCCTGCCACAACAGGGCTCTTTCTCAAATATTTACAATCGTCTCTCTGAATCTGCTGGGGATGGGTTCCAGGGCCCCCTTGGGTACCGAAGCCTGCAGATGCTCAAGACCTACATATGAAATGTCGGCTACGGCATCAAGCCTATGCACTTTTTCCCGTAGAATACATGACTGTGTGTATGTTTCTCTGTGTGTATGTCAGTGTGTGTACTTACGTATGTGTACATATGTATGTATGTGTATATGCCTGTTTATATGTATATGTATGTGTCTCTGTTTATGAATGTATATATGTGTGTATGTATGTACCTGTATTCATTTATATAAATATGCATGTCTATGTATGTATATGTGTATGTGTTTATCTGTGCATGTATGTGTATATAAGTTCTCATATATGCCTGTGTATATATATATATGTGCGTGTGTACATATGTGTACGTATGTATTTGTATGTATATATGTAAATGTAAGTGTATACACGTATGTGGTGGGATTTCTGTGGTTGGTTTCCTAGAAAATTCCTTCTGTAGGAGCCTCTGGGTTGGTCCTTGAGTGTAGCTTGCCCATGCTACCTCTGTCCCTGTGTCTGCTCCTGTGCAGTCTGTCCTTCCCAGGCTCCCTGCAGTTAGGCCTGTCACTGAAGAGTTAATGCCTCACTTACAGGGACTTGGCAGAGGCCTGTCTGGGTTGCTTGGGATTCGTGACACCTGCCACTTTATTTTTCCAAAGTGCAAGGCCCGTGATGCATGGAGGCAGACGGCGGCAACTGTGGTGGGAGCCAGGGCAACAGCGGAGAACGGGCCAGTGTTTATCAATCTGCCGGCTCCTGGCACCAGGCAGTCTGTCTGCTCATGGCCAAATGTCATTCCCGCCATGCCTGCGGAGATAGAATTGGACAGATCAGAGAGGTCTTGGCATGTTGGCGTCCACATTGGAGATGGAGGGAGAGTGAGTGCAGTGAGGAAGGAGCTGTACAGAGCTCACTGAGACCATGGAGCTGTTGTACGAGAAGAAACCAGAGGTCAGGCTGTCTGCTGAACAGGTTTTTGCATAGCCAGGCCCTTGTGTGGCTGTGTTATCTCTGGGAAATCATGTCTTTGTTTGAATGCATAAGGAGGCTGGTGGGAACTGTGGATTTAACCAGTAAAAGTCAGATGGCAGAAGCCACGCTCCTCAGCTTTCTCCCCTTGAAACCAGGATATACATCTTTGCTGGCCACTGCCTGGCCTAGAGATTAAGGACAGCTCTGGGGATGAGCATGCATCGAGAGGGCCCTCTCCCTCTCCAGGGAAATGGGAGGTCAGGGTGTTTGACCCAGGCATGTCTGCAGGCATCTGGGGCCTTCTCCTCTGGGAGTCATGAGAACTGGGTCCCTTTCTAACATATTTGCATATATATTCTGACCTCTTCATCCCAGTGGTGGTGGTGAGGGTCATGGCAGCACATACTGCCACATCTCCGTGAACCTTGATTTCTGTATTTGTCTCCCAGTCCTCATGGCTGGGAATGCCAGGCCCTGCATGGGGGTAGGCAACGTCTCTGATCAGTTCTGTGGCCTGAAGCTGAGGGCTTAGCTCTGGCCCTGGGCATCTTGGTTGCATCTCAAGAGTGCTGAAGGAGGCGGAGATTCAGCGAGCAGAGCAGGAGATGTACGAGAAGGTGGTCCCTCAAGCATAGGCTGGGGTGCGGCTTGGTTGGTAGAGTACTTGCCTAGCATACTCGGGCCCTGGGTTCAATCCCTGGCATTGCGTAAAGAGGTACAGCAATAAACATCTGTAATCCCAGCACTTGAGATGAAGGAAGAGTTGGTCAAAGTTATCTTCTTAAACTTGGTTTGAGGTCAGCCTGGGCTAAATGAGACTGTCTCAGAAAACAAAAACAAAAACAAAAGCAAACAACATAAGGGTTGGAGGAATAGCTCAGTGGCAGAACAGGCAGAACACAAGCCTCGTGCACAGGAAACCCAGGGTTCGCTCTCCTGCACCGGGGCAGGGGGAGCCACAAGTCCTCGCAGCTCAGACCCTCTGGGTTCCTGCCTTCTGTTAATTCATAATTGACACTGTAAGGGAGATTATTGCTGGCATTCATGGCTCACTCACAGTGGAGTGCTAGGCAGTGCTACTGCTGGAGAGACAGTTGGTCACTCGGAGCCCTAAGGCCTGTCCAGCTGGTGTCTGTGCACTCACTGGATTGATTGTCCACCTGCCCTTCCTCCTGTGCTCAGGGAAGGCAGAGGCTGCACATAGCTTGGTTGGTCTTGTGGACTTTAAACATGGCAGAGAGGCTCCCACTTGGAGCCTCATCATTAGCAGAACGGAAGCCTCCACTGAGTCATCAGTTGGATGGGCAGGGTAGGGCAGGGTGGTCAGGCAAGCAGATAGTTGGGGCCAGGACTAGGAACCTCCATGCCAGCCTTTAGATTAACCTCAATCCCAACATGGTCCGCAATTGCCTGAAGGACAGCGTACCCTACAAAGACACACCAGGCCTCCAGGGATGCCCAGCTTGTCCCAGCTCTTTAGTTACTCACCAGATAGCATGAAGCTCCCCTGTTCAGAGGAGCGCTCAAGGTAGTGAGTGCCTTTGCAAGGGACTTGTCTTCCCTAAGCCTCAGTTTCCCAATCTGTCATTTCTCGAGTAGTAGATTCTGGCTCATGGGGAGTCCATGGCTATGAATCCTGGGGAAGGAGGGCAGGCTGGGAGTTGTCATCCTTCCTTCCATCAAACCCAGATCCCTGACACAGGAACAGGAACCGCTGCCTCAACCCCATGGGCTAACTATGTGTGTACCCTGTGCCCTGTCCCGTGTTCCGGTGGGCTTTGTATAGACGAAAGTGGTCAGTTCTTTCCACACAGAAGGAAGGACTGTGTGGATGTGGTCAGATGTGGGGGCCGTGGACCTTCTTGGCACTGACCCTACTGCTTTTTGTCCCGGGCAGGTGCACAATGTGGCCTTTGCCTTTGAACTGATGCTGGATGGAGGGCTCAAGAAACCCAAGGCTCGCCCTGAAGGTAACACCTCATCAGAGCAGTCCCAAGCGAGGGAGAGCGGGGCTTAGGGCCCCAGGCAGCCTGTGTGTTGGGTTTGAAGCCTCACTTCTGCTACACGCTTGCCCACACAGCCCCACAGTTCCTGGCGTCTGTCCTCTCTGGCCAACGCTGTCTGTCTGTTTCTTTCCGCAGACGTGGTGAACCTGGACCTCAAATCCACTCTGCGTGTCCTTTACACTCTGTTCACCAAGTACAAGGATGTGGAGTGACAGCGGCTGACTCTTCTGGGACAATTTCTAGACGAGAAAAGTGGGAGTGTCTATCCACGGCCCCTGCTCTCCCAGGAAACACCTTCCCGGGGAGGCCTCAGGCGTCCCGGCTGCCTGCTGCCCTTCTCTCTGCCCTCTGCCTGGTGTGGCTGTTGTTTTAAATCCCTGTCCTGTGTGGTTCCCCGGCCTTTGAGAGCTTGGTGCTTTAAACACCCTCTCGGGTCTGAAACCTCGCTTCCTCTTTTTCTCCGCCTCTGTGAAAAGATGAAAAAGAACAAAAGCCCCAGCCCACCCCTCCGCTGGAGAGGGCTGTCCACCTGTGCTCCAAACCATGGAACAATTACCAATGGCAGGAGCACAGCAACCCCGGGCGCCAGGGACTCCGCCCCACTTGTCCTCAGGAATCCCCTGGGCTGGGCTCTCCTTGGAAGCAGGGTCTTGTCTCAGTAAAATCCTCACAGTTCTTCACTCCTGAGTCTCAGAAGCTTTAGACTCGTGACGCGGGTCCCCACCTCCATCCGTCTTGCGGTTTTCTGGGTTTAACTGACTGTTTTACATGAACCCTCAGGACCCAGAATGCCTCGGGCCCCCAAGGCAGCTTGCACAGGGCATGTCTGGGTCTGTTGCTAGCTCTGAATGTGCGGCTTGAGCCAGCTTGGAGCCAGCACCTTCTGTCTCTGAGGCCCTGTTAGGGAATGGACACATTTTTAGAGATTTTACAAGGGGCTGGGAATCCATTAGCAGGGCTGCCTGACCACAGGCTACCAGCAGCCAAAATGACAGAGGCGTGCATCTGGAGGCTCTGGGGGCTGGGAGTAGGAGACGGAGATACTGGCAGGATACTTCTCTCTGCCTTCATACCAGCCCTCCTCCTGCATTAATCTCTTCTTCATTCGAAGTGGAACCCATTCCCCTGTATAACCTTGATGACTCCATGACATCTACAAGGCCCCTGTCTCCAAATTTTGGTCTCCCCCAGATAAGCCAGGAGTAGGTTTGTAGAGCATCTCTCAGCTGCAGGTGGGGGCATATGAGGTGTCCGAAACCCTCCTGGAACTCCCCTGACATCCCCTGCAGCATGGCCTATAAGAGAAAATGCTGTTGCTCCCGTGAGCCATTTGCCACTCACTTCCCTTGACTCCAGAGAGGAGTGGTGATGCCATGGCTGGCTGGCTCCTTGTCTCAGGAACCCTACTTCTGAGGTTCACCCCCTCTCATGCTCCTGCTACCTCCGGCCCTCAGTACAGCTACCCTCTTCCTTGAGTCTTCAGTGTTCACTGCAGCTACAGTAAGCCTTCCTTTTCTGATTCCCACCTTGCCACGGACCAGGGCTGTGGAGTGAGGTGTTGATACTGAATTGAATGCCAACCGTGAAGTTCCAGAAAAACAGTTTAATATCCTCCCTCGGTCCCACTGTTGCTAAGCTGGGGACGGGCTTGGAATAGCCGCTCCAATGGAGGTGGCTTCCCAGCAGGGGAAAGAGATAATTAAAACGGCATTACCGTGTCTCCCTGTGGGATGCGCTGACATTAAAGAGCCACACTGACAAAATAGTCGGGACTGGAACGTTCTGTGCTGCCTTCCTCACGTGCACAGAGCCACAGCAGCATCCAGGAACTGCTGGGTCCCTCTTGCTCTGCTCACAAGTAGTGTGGGCAAATGTGTCTCCTATCCCCGGGGCAGGGGACCTAGATGCAAAGGGTTTGCAGAGACCTATGGTGCTGAAGAAAGAAAAGGGTTGGTCTGGGAAGGGCCGTGGCCTTCTGGGCTTCCCTATCTGAAGGGCACATGTCCCACTTGGTATCCAAGCAGGCTCATAAGAGCCTGTGAAGCTAAAGGACTTCATGAAGGCCTGAGCTTCCCCATCGGCTGAGCGTGGAGGTGGGGTTCTCACATGCCAGTGAAGGGCTCCTGGTGTCCTTTCTCTCCTTTCACCTTGGAGTTGGCATTCACACCACAGCTCGGACAGAGACACCAAGAACCAAGGTTTCTAGGTCAACTTCAGGGCCACCTGTGTAAGGCAGGCTTTCTTCACAGGAAAAAGGGAGAGCTGTCTCCCTCCATGACCTCAGGTAATCAGTGCTTATCCCCAACCTTTCCACACTCCCCCACCCCACCGGGGCAGGAGGAAGGAACAGGCAGATCTTCATACTCCCCCTCTGTCTTGCACTGGTTGGGCCATCCCCTCAGGCTCTGCTGACCTCTGCAGACAAGCAGGCAGCTCTTGTTCCTCTTTTGCACCTAGTTGAGCAAAGCTGAGCCCAGGGCCCCCTGCTTCCTCGTGGGCCTGACAAAGGGGGATCTTTTCTTTTCTTTCTTTTTTCCAAACCAAGTTTGGTCTCCCTCTGTGAAACAGCGCTTTATTGTCTTTTTAATTGTTCGAAGCAATGTGTCCTTTGGATTTCTGGATATTAAATAAAAACCACTAAACCCCCGGCTGTGCTTTGATCAGACCCTCCTGGCAGACAGCAGGGACGGCGTGCTTGCGACAGCTCAAACTCATGGCTTCCTGTGCCAGGCATTCAGTTGGGAGACGAAGCTTGGGGTGTCACAGTGTGCTCTGACTTACTTTAGTGATGAGCTCGGATGCACCAGCCGGCTTTTGGCTCTTTGTGGGGCCGCTTCTCACATATTCCATGTCTGTTCTCCCTGCCCGGAGCTGGGGCTGCATCATTTCACATTGCCAGGCTAGCTCCCTCTGATGCTACCAGGCACAGGCTGAAGGAAGATAGGGGTGAGGAGCAGAAGGGCTGGGGGATGGGCTTCCCTGCTTTCTGTGTAGACGGGGTAGAAAGCCAGAGCTAGTCTGTGATGGTGATCTCAGCCTGGCACTTCTTACCCCCTTTTCTGAAGAAATCCCATTCCTCAGGCACATTCTACAGAGTGGTGCTCACTGGGAAGCCAAGAGTTCAAGGCCAGCCTGGGTGACATAGTTCCAAGACAACCTGAGCTATAGAGTGAGACCTTGTCTCAGAACAGTTTCCTCTACCCCAAAATGCACAGTTGGTGTGGACTGCAAGTCGACGATGCTATTTACACAAACTGACTTCTTTCAATAGAGACTGTCTTGTGGAACTATAACCTCATCTCCTGGGGTTGGGAGATGGCCCCGTGGGTGAGGTGCTTGCTGTGCAGTTGAAAAGACCTGAGTTAGAATCTGCAGCTTTATCTGCTGGATATGGTATCGGGAGTCCATAATCCCAGCCCTCCTGCAAGAGACGTGAAGACAGAATCCCTGGAAACTCAAGGGCCAGCTACCCTTGGTGTACACAGCAGGGAACGGCAGAGCACCCGCATCAAACAAGGTAGAAGCTGAGGGGCGACACCCGAGGCTGCCCTCTGACCACTACACACGTTGCCATGGCGTTTGTGTGCCGCCATTCGCAACAGAAATAACATGTGCACACACAGAGACTTTTTAGAAGGCTAAAAATGACTAACTGTGGTTGGGAAGGATTTAGGCTTTGGATGGGCTCTTGGGCGCAGGTCCAGCTTTGTTTTTCAGTGACTGCTGAAAATTTGCCCGAGCCTCCCAGTTCTGAGGAAGAGAAAGCAGCCATCTCCAGTACTATGTCCCTCGGCGATGTGTTGTAACGTCTGAAGGTGGACTGGTTGTCACAACTCTGAGCTACTCGCCTGTTGTGGAGGCGTGGCTTGCTGCTGGCGCCCTACAGCTCACAGAATTCCCAAGTGTCATTGTGTTATGTCTGGGACACCCTGAGGTAAATTGCCAGCTCCTGGGGTAGTCAGTCCCTCTTCTTTTGTTGTACAGGATTTATCTGTTACTATTGATGAAGGAAACAAAACAAAACAAACAAAAAGCTTTCCTCTCAGCAGCTGGGGCCACAGATCAGTTGGTAGAGTTCTCAGCTAGATACTCCAAGCCCTTGTGGGGAAGCTGAGACAGGAGGAGGGTCCTGAGTTCGAGAGCAGACCAGGCTACATAGTGCTAGGCTCAATTCCCAGCAATATATGGGGTGGTGGCATAGGTCTATAATCTCAGCACCAGGGCGTGTAGAGGCAGGAGAATCAGGAATTCAAGGCCACCCTCTACTATACAATGAGTTCAAAGCTATCCTGAGCTGCATGAGAGCCTGTCTAAGGAAAAAGTGTGAGTGTGTGCGTGTGTGTGTGTGTGTGTGTGTGTGTGTGTGTGTGTGTGTGTTGGGGGACTGGGGCTTATGTCCTAGTTTGTTTTCTATTACTGTGATAAATACCATAAATAAACAACCTGGAGAAGAAAGAGTTGATTTCAGTGTAGAGTTGCACGTGACATTCTCTACTGAAGGAAGTCAGGACAGGAACTCACTCACATGTTCCAGCAGGGCTGGAATCTGGAGGCAGGAACTGAAGCAGAGGCCATGGAGGGGTGCTGCCTACTGGCTTGCTCTTCATGGCTTGCTCAGCCCGCTTTCTTATAGAATCCAGGTTCACCTGCCCAGCTGTGACACTGTCCACTGTGCTCTGGGCCCTGCCACATCAATTATTAATCAAGAAAATGTCCCACACGCTTGCCCCTAGGCCAATCTGGTGGAGGTGTTTTCTCTGTTGAGATTCGCTCTTCCCAGATGACTCTAGTTTGTGTCAAGTTGGGGAAGAAAAAAAAAATAATAGCACATATTAGAGACCAGTTCTTGAGGCCAGCCATGACACATGACCCTCTAGGGACCTTCTGATTGGGTCTTCTCAGTAGGTCTTTTTTGGGGGTCCTGATTGATCAGAGCCAGTGGAATGACCAGAGACAGAGCTGAGCACTGTATCAGGAGACTCTAAGGATGACTCCTGGCAAACCAGGGTGACAAGGCACAACAGGTTGTGGTTATACATGTACAGAAGCCTGTCTTCGTGAGGGTTTCATTGCTGTGAAGAGAAACCATGACCACGACAACTCCTATTAGGAAAACATTTCACTGGGGTGAGCTGACAGTTGTAGAGGTTTAGTCCATTATCATCACAGCTGGAAGCATGGTGGCATGCAGGCAGACATGGTTCTGGAGAAGGAGCTGGGAGTTCTACATCTTGATCTGAAGGCAGCAAAGGGAGACTATGTCACTGGGTGTGGCTTGAGCATATAGATACCTCAAAGCCCACCCTAACAGTGACACACTTCCTCCAACAAGGCCACACCTACTCCAACAAAGCCACATCTGTTAACAGTGTCACACCTTGTGGGCCTATGGGGGCCAATTACATTCCAACTACAACAGAACTTAAAGCCAGCTCAGAGGAGGAACCAGAGCTGAGGGCTTCATGGGCTGTGCAGGCCTTTGCGTCCCTCATCTCTCAGGAAAATGTTTCCATTCTCCTGAGCTGACCATCTGACTGTCGTCAGGCCCCCCAGGGAAGTTTCCTGTTCAGAGTTTCTGGGCTTGTGTGGAGTCCCTTTCTTCCTTTGTAGCCAGTCTGGGGAATGTGACCACAGGGAGTTTGGACAAGTAAAGGGCCACCTGCTATGACCCGTGCAACCC